ACCACGAATATGTAACACATCAACCACGATTATGTAGCAACCACGAGTATATAACACATATCAACCGCGGGTATGTAACACACATCAACCACGAGTATATAACACACATCAACCACGAGTTTGTAACACACATCAACCACGAGAATGTAACACACATCAACCACGAGTATATAACACACATCAACCACGACTTTGTAACACACATCAACCGCGGGTATGTAACACACATCAACCACGAGTATATAACACACATCAACCACGAGTTTGTAACACACATCAACCACGAGTATATAACACATATCAACCAAGAGAATGTAACACACATCAACCACTAGTATGTACCACAAATCAACCACGAGTATGTACCACAAATCAACCACGAGTATGTACCACAAATCAACCACGAGAATGTACCACGCATCAAACACGAGTATGTAACACACATCAACCACGAGTATGTAACACACATCAACCACGAGTATATAACACACATCAACCAAGAGAATGTAACACACATCAACCACTAGTATGTACCACAAATCAACCACGAGTATGTACCACAAATCAACCACGAGAATGTACCACGCATCAAACACGAGTATGTAACACACATCAACCACGAGTATGTAACACACATCAACCACGAGTTTGTAACACACATCAACCACGAGTATGTAACACACATCAACCACGAGAATGTAACACGCATCAACCGCGAGTATGTAACACACATCAACCACGAGTATGTAACACACATCAACCGCGAGTATGTAACACGCATCAACCACGAGTATGTAACACACATCAGCCGCGAGTATGTACCACAAATCAACCACGAGTATGTACCACAAATCAACCACGAGTATGTAACACACATCAACCACGAGTATGTACCACACATCAACCACGAGTATGTAACACAAATCAACCATGAGTGTGTAACACACATCAACCACGAGTATATAACACACATCAACCAAGAGAATGTAACACACATTAACCACTAGTATGTACCACAAATCAACCACGAGTATGTACCACAAATCAACCACGAGTATGTACCACAAATCAACCACGAGAATGTACCACGCATCAAACACGAGTATGTAACACACATCAACCACGAGTATGTAACACACATCAACCACGAGAATGTAACACGCATCAACCGCGAGTATGTAACACACATCAACCACGAGTATGTAACACACATCAACCGCGAGTATGTAACACACATCAACCGCGAGTATGTAACACACATCAACCGCGAGTATGTAACACACATCAACCACGAGTATGTAACACACATCAACCACTAGTATGTACCACAAATCAACCACGAGTATGTACCACAAATCAACCACGAGTATGTAACACACATCAACCACGAATATGTAACACATCAACCACGAGTATGTAGCAACCACGAGTATGTAACACACATCAACCACTAGTATGTACCACGCATCAAACACGAGTATGTAACACACATCAACCACGAGTATGTAACACACATCAACCGCGAGTATGTAACACGCATCAACCACGAGTATGTAACACACATCAGCCGCGAGTATGTACCACAAATCAACCACGAGTATGTACCACAAATCAACCACGAGTATGTAACACACATCAACCACGAGTATGTACCACACATCAACCACGAGTATGTAACACAAATCAACCATGAGTGTGTAACACACATCAACCACGAGTATATAACACACATCAACCAAGAGAATGTAACACACATTAACCACTAGTATGTACCACAAATCAACCACGAGTATGTACCACAAATCAACCACGAGTATGTACCACAAATCAACCACGAGAATGTACCACGCATCAAACACGAGTATGTAACACACATCAACCACGAGTATGTAACACACATCAACCACGAGAATGTAACACGCATCAACCGCGAGTATGTAACACACATCAACCACGAGTATGTAACACACATCAACCGCGAGTATGTAACACACATCAACCGCGAGTATGTAACACACATCAACCGCGAGTATGTAACACACATCAACCACGAGTATGTAACACACATCAACCACTAGTATGTACCACAAATCAACCACGAGTATGTACCACAAATCAACCACGAGTATGTAACACACATCAACCACGAATATGTAACACATCAACCACGAGTATGTAGCAACCACGAGTATGTAACACACATCAACCACTAGTATGTACCACGCATCAAACACGAGTATGTAACACACATCAACCACGAGTATGTAACACACATCAACCACGAGTATGTAACACACATCAACCACGAGTATGTAACACAAATCAACCACGAGTATGTACCACAAATCAACCACGAGAATGTACCACGCATCAAACACGAGTATGTAACACACATCAACCACGAGTATGTAACACACATCAACCACGAGTATGTAACACACATCAACCACGAGTATGTACCACAAATCAACCACGAGAATGTAACACGCATCAAACACGAGAATGGAACACACATCAACCACGAGTATGTAACACACATCAACCACGAGTATGTAACACACATCAACCACTAGTATGTAACACACATCAACCACGAGTATGTAACACACATCAACCAAGAGTATGTAACACACATCAACCAAGAGAATGTAACACACATCAACCACGAGTGTGTACCACAAATCAACCACGAGTATGTAACACACATCAACCACGAGTTTGTAACACACATCAACCACGAGTATGTAACACACATCAACCACGAGTTTGTAACACACATCAACCACGAGTATGTAACACACATCAACCACGAGAATGTAACACGCATCAACCGCGAGTATGTAACACACATCAACCACGAGTATGTAACACACATCAACCGCGAGTATGTAACACACATCAACCGCGAGTATGTAACACACATCAACCGCGAGTATGTAACACACATCAACTACGAGTATGTAACACACATCAACCACTAGTATGTACCACAAATCAACCACGAGTATGTACCACAAATCAACCACGAGTATGTAACACACATCAACCACGAATATGTAACACATCAACCACGAGTATGTAGCAACCACGAGTATGTAACACACATCAACCACTAGTATGTACCACGCATCAAACACGAGTATGTAACACACATCAACCACGAGTATGTAACACACATCAACCACGAGTATGTAACACACATCAACCACGAGTATGTACCACAAATCAACCACGAGTATGTAACACGCATCAAACACGAGTATGTAACACACATCAACCACGAGTATGTAACACACATCAACCACGAGTATGTACCACAAATCAACCACGAGAATGTAACACGCATCAAACACGAGAATGGAACACACATCAACCACGAGTATGTAACACACATCAACCACGAGTATGTAACACACATCAACCACGAGTATGTAACACACATCAACCACTAGTATGTACCACGCATCAAACACGAGTATGTAACACACATCAACCACGAGTATGTAACACACATCAACCACGAGTATGTAACACACATCAACCACGAGTATGTACCACAAATCAACCACGAGTATGTAACACGCATCAAACACGAGTATGTAACACACATCAACCACGAGTATGTAACACACATCAACCACGAGTATGTACCACAAATCAACCACGAGAATGTAACACGCATCAAACACGAGAATGGAACACACATCAACCACGAGTATGTAACACACATCAACCACGAGTATGTAACACACATCAACCACGAGTATGTAACACACATCAACCACGAGTATGTAACACACATCAACCACGAGTATGTAACACACATCAACCAAGAGTATGTAACACACATCAACCCAGAGAATGTAACACACATCAACCACGAGTGTGTACCACAAATCAACCACGAGTATGTAACACACATCAACCACGAGTATGTAACACACATCAACCACGAGTATGTAACACACATCAACCACGAGTTTGTAACACACATCAACCACGAGTATGTAACACACATCAACAACGAGAATGTAACACGCATCAACCACGAGTATATAACACACATCAACCACGAGTATGTAACACACATCAACCGCGAGTATGTAACACACATCAACCGCGAGTATGTAACACACATCAACCGCGAGTATGTAACACACATCAACCGCGAGTATGTAACACACATCAACCACTAGTATGTACCACAAATCAACCACGAGTATGTACCACAAATCAACCACGAGTATGTAACACACATCAACCACGAATATGTAACACATCAACCACGAGTATGTAGCAACCACGAGTATGTAACACACATCAACCACTAGTATGTACCACGCATCAAACACGAGTATGTAACACACATCAACCACGAGTATGTAACACACATCAACCACGAGTATGTAACACACATCAACCACGAGTATGTAACACAAATCAACCACGAGTATGTACCACAAATCAACCACGAGAATGTACCACAAATCAAACACGAGTATGTAACACACATCAACCACGAGTATGTAACACACATCAACCACGAGTATGTAACACACATCAACCACGAGTATGTACCACAAATCAACCACGAGAATGTAACACGCATCAAACACGAGTATGTAACACACATCAACCACGAGTATGTAACACACATCAACCACGAGTATGTAACACACATCAACCACTAGTATGTAACACACATCAACCACGAGAATGTAACACACATCAACCAAGAGAATGTAACACACATAAACCACGAGTATCTAACACACATCAACCAATAATAAATGTTTATTCATTTCAGAGTGTCATAGTGAGAACTTGATAGCTGACGCATTTTACTACTCAATAAACAAATCCCTGTTTTCTATTGTTCATTCACTGCACTTCTATCAGTCACGTGACCATACTGCCGCACAGAGAATACCCAATATAAGCCCATCGGCCGTCCGCATCCTGCATTTTCAGCTGCTGCTGCAAGAGAGAGACATCCCTTGTCCTCTGACAATGGTTGAACATCTTAAACTTGGCGATATTGTGGCGCTTGCGGCGTATTTCGTTTTAGTGATCGGCGTTGGGATATGGGTATGTAGATGTCTATATCATGTTACGTCCTTGAAACATGTAACCCAATAATATGTTTAAATGAAAATCTGAGCTAGCTGGCGGTTGCAATGCAAGTCGTGGCGCATTTCATGATCACGTCATAGTTTGTTGTTCAACGCCGCGCTCAGAATCTCCCACCTATATGACTGCGGTCTGTAAAGAATCGAGTCCGGACCAGACAATTCGTGATTGACATCATGAGCATCGATCTACGCAATAGGGATACAATGACATGCACCAGCCAAGTCAGCGAGCCTGACCTCCCGATCCCGTTAGTCACCTCTTACTGTTCACGTCATAACATATAACAGTGAAAATTACATTCGATGGGGCTATGATATTTAATGAATGGAGAAAATTAATTTACATATATTCATGTATATATGACAATTTTTATTGTATATCCTTTACTGTTAGGTGAAATGTACACCAGGGTGCTATATATGTGCTATATCAACTTGCCGGGAAACAAATAAAACCGCATTTGAGCAGATACTAGTACCTGGATACTTGCGGTATATAAATGCATTTATGATAATAATATGTAGATCGGTGAAAGGCATATCGTAGATGTATAAACAACGTTATTGCCAATGACATGTGTGACAAAAATATGACAATGTTGTCAACACAAACGTGGTCGATAGAAGGATTGAAGGATTTAACTGGGCGCTATAAACACAATTTGTGGAATGTTAATACGTACAAAATATATGTGTATGTCGGTGTTATAAGTTCAAAATTAACCCCCATCAGCTCCCCCCCCCCCCCCCCCCAAAACTGTATATATGGTTACAATAAATAATTCAGATATTTTAATAATTCAGATGTTTCCAAATTTGACGCACCAGTGACAAAAATTATGTCCGATGCAATTCCCTTTTTTGACTTGTACCAAATGTTCCCGTGATTTTTCGGGTGAAAAATTGTCTTGCCTTTGCATGTGTTGTTTGTGACGGGTGCCGCCGCTGGGGCAGGATACGATAACTTTTTTGCAAATACCTGGTATCATCACTATTTGATGGTGATTCATATACATGCTCATGATAAAGTCGGAATCGGACAGTCGATTAAGCTTTAGCAGAGATTTCTTATGGACATGGAAAGGTGAAATTTATTTATTAGATAATTTTCCGAACAAGGAAGACTATGGCCCCGTAAGGATTCCGTTTTAGAGTTAGTGTCCATCAACTTTTGCTGGTCGAAGGAGGCGATTTATTGGAGCGTGTGGTCACGTTTGGTGACTGTCTTTGTTGCCTGTCATCGTACCCCGACGGCGTTGATAGATGTTCATAATATCAATCACTGGATTGTCTTATCGAGACTTTATTATTTGCAGGGTGTCGTCATTTAGTTTGAATAAAACTGAACGCGGCGTTAAACAACACACACAAACAAACGGAAGTCTATGGAAAGCAATTATCAGGTTATAAAATCCGCCACGCAATCAATTTACATGCTTTTAAAGCAATTATCATCTCCTGTCATGTTCATAGGTCGTTTTAAATACAACACGGCCGCAAGCCACACCCCACATGAACCATATCAGTGTTTACAGTGATTCGTTAATTGGGAAGTAAAATGGTTAATTCAGCAGCAGTGACTATGAATTAACCATTTACACAGGCAATTATAAAACAATGTTTATTTCAATAAATAATACAATAAAAAATAAACAAACAATACTTTTACTTTTACAACGCATTTTTACCCCAGTATATCCTACTGAGGCAAAGGCATTTTTTAAAAATATTTTCGAGAAATTTCTCAATCTCACATTATGTCTTTAAACTTTTTCGAGTTCAGCAAGTGATCATTTCTTCACTTACACGACCATTGACATCAACTATGTTAAACGCGATTGTTATCTTATTCTTCGTCAGTGTCTATCGCCAGGCACCCTGTTTTGTAATCTACGTCATGTTTAAGTTATTATCTCACAGAAGATAATCAAGACCAACGTTTGCACAGTGTTGTTAAGCTAACGACCTTATGTCACAAATCGCAAATCTTCTCCAGTTGTTTTGACTTTGGAGTTTCCGATAAAACGACGTAATACGCTGTAACAGATTGCCGGTCAGATTGCAGGTCAAATTGCAGGTCAGTCAGACTTTCAATTGCAAGAAACCCGCGAACCTTAGGGGGGGTACACTATTCAATATTGAGGTGGGATGAGGTGGGGTTGAAAATAGGGGGATGGGGGTGCGGGTTTCTCGGATTTGTGTTACAGCCATTAGAGACAGGATGGTTTTTTTCGGTCACTGCTTCAAAAACTCATTTTGTTTCTCTGAAAGGAAGAACAAAAGATCACCAAGCATTGTATTTCCAGGACAGCCATGAAGTAAAGCGAACAATGTATTGTTTTGTTAAAACCTGAAGACAAATTATCTTTTCCCGTGGGGATTGCGGGATAGAATATGTCCCCAGCAATCTAGTCTTGCCTCCCCGTGTGGAATCCGGGTTAGAATAGGCCCCCATCTATCTAGTCTTGTCTCCCCGTGTGGAATCCGGGTTAGAATAGGTCCTCAGCAATCTATGCTTGTCTCACCGTGTGGAATCCGGGTTAGAATAGGTCTCCAGCAATCTATGCTTGTCTCCCCGTGTGGATTCCGGGTTAGAATAGGCCCCCCAGCAATCTATGCTTGTCTCACCGTGTGGAATCCGGGTTAGAATAGGTCCTCAGCAATCTATGCTTGTCTCACCGTGTGGAATCCGGGTTAGAATAGGTCTCCAGCAATCTATGCTTGTCTCCCCATGTGGATTCCGGGTTAGAATAGGCTCCCAGCAATCTATGCTTGTCTCCCCATGTGGATTCCGGGTTAGAATAGGCCCCCAGCAATCTATGCTTGTCTCCCCATGTGGATTCCGGGTTAGAATAGGCTCCCAGCAATCTATGCTTGTCTCCCCATGTGGATTCCGGGTTAGAATAGGCTCCCAGCAATCTATGCTTGTCTCCCCATGTGGATTCCGGGTTAGAATTGGCTCCCAGCAATCTATGCTTGTCTCCCCATGTGGATTCTGGGTTAGAATAGGCCCCCAGCAATCTATGCTTGTCTCCCCGTGTGGATTCCGGGTTAGAATAGGTCCTCAGCAATCTTTGCTTGTCTCACCGTGTGGAATCCGGGTTAGAATAGGTCTCCAGCAATCTATGCTTGTCTCCCCATATGGATTCCGGGTTAGAATAGGCTCCCAGCAATCTATGCTTGTCTCCCCATGTGGATTCCGGGTTAGAATAGGCCCCCAGCAATCTATGCTTGTCTCCCCAAGTGGATTCCGGGTTAGAATAGGCTCCCAGCAATCTATGCTTGTCTCCCCATGTGGATTCCGGGTTAGAATAGGCTCCCAGCAATCTATGCTTGTCTCCCCATGTGGATTCCGGGTTAGAATAGGCCCTCCAGCAATCTGTGCCTATCTCCCTATGTGGACTCCTGTTTAAAATAGGCACCCAGCAACCTATGCTTGTCTCCCCATGTGGATTCCGGGTTAGAATAGGCCCCCAGCAATCTATGCTTGTCTCCCCATGTGGATTCCGGGTTAGAATAGGCTCCCAGCAATCTATGCTTGTCTCCCCGTGTGGATTCCGGGTTAGAATAGGCACCCAGCAATCTATTCTTGTCTCCCCGTGTGGAATACGGGTTAGAATAGGTCACTACCAAGCTTTCCTTAACTACTGACATATACTATGTTCATACCACTTTCCTATACATGCACGTACACACAACTACTGACATATACTACATTCATACACGTGATCGTCGAGCATGAAGATGAGCTGCATGTAAACGATATCTGATCGTCTGACCTGTAACTCGTAGTCCATTCGAAATTTCAAATAAGTATCTTGAAATTTCAAGTTATATATCTTGAAAATTTCAAGTTATATATCTTGAAATTTCAAGTAATGTATCTTGAAATTTCAAGTTATGTTTCTTGAAATTTCAAGTAATGTATCTTGAAATTTCAAGTTATGTATCTTGAAATTTCAAGAAAAAAGAAAAAATGGCCCTAAAAGGCTTCCGTACAAATGTCATGCAGGTGGTAGAGGTTTACCACTTTGAGGAAACCCGAGAGCACGGGGAAAGGCGACTCTGCCCAATGTGAATTAATCCCTCAGTTCACATTCATGAAATAAGTGCTGCATTATTCATTAATGTAGGATTATTTTAACTGTACAGCATCGTCATTGAAGTCATCTAACATTTATACTCCGTACACATCTTGCTCACTCTGAATATTCATTTATTATTGTCATGGACATTTTGACTTTTTTGTTGTGGCCGTTTAGGACCAAATTCTACGACCTTCTGTTTATGCATGCACTAATGCATGGATTTAGGGGTTACTGGTGATTCATGTGTAAGTAACGAACGATAGTTGATTTTATTCATGTGTGCGGAAAATGAAACTAGGTATTATATTTATTGTATGTCGTATGTTATATAGTGACCTTAACCTGGCTCCTGATGGGTGTCAAGGTCAACTATATTGTAACCTTAACCTTTACTCCTAATTTGTGTCAAGGTCAACTATATCGTGACGTTAACCTTTACTCCTGATGGGTGTCAAGGTCAACTATATAGTGACCTTAACCTGGCTCCTGATGGGTGTCAAGGTCAACTATATTGTAACCTTAACCTTTACTCCTGATTGGTGTCAAGGTCAACTATATCGTGACGTTAACCTTTACTCCTGATGGGTGTCAAGGTCAACTATATAGTGACCTTAACCTGGCTCCTGATGGGTGTCAAGGTCAACTATATTGTAACCTTAACCTTTACTCCTGATTGGTGTCAAGGTCAACTATATCGTGACGTTAACCTTTACTCCTGATGGGTGTCAAGGTCAACTATATAGTGACCTTAACCTGGCTCCTGACGGATGTCAATGGGTCAACAACATATTGATCTCAAACTTTACTCACAGTGGTTGCCATAAGTCAACTGTATAGCGACCTTAACTTTCACAACCGACGGGGGTCAAGGGTCAACAGTATAGTGACCTCAGTGTTTTTCTTACAACAGGTGTCAAAGGTCAGCTCTATCAATGTAGGTACAATGACTCGAGAGTGTAGGTATTTGTGAATTGTGCTACATCTAGACGTTATTATTCACTCATGTTATATACTACTTTCAGTCCACATTCAGGCCCACCAGAAGCGGCGCCATGGGCTATTTCTTGGCAGGGAAAAGCATGAACTGGTTCACGGTAAGATTATTATTATTATTATGTTTCTCAGATCCTGGCAACGATAAACACAATGAACAGCAAACTCGACTCATTCGAAGCCTCAATTGCAAACATAAACAGAAAACTCATCCGACCCGTGAAGATCCGGGTTAGAATGGATCTTCAGGAACCCATGCTTGCCGTAAAAGGCGACAATGCTTGTCGAAAGAGGCAACTTACGGGATCGTGTGGTCAGGCTCGCTGACTTGGTTGATGCATGTCATCGTATCCCAATTGCTCATGATGTCAATCACTGGATTGTCTGGCCCAGACTCGATTATTTACAGACCGCCATCATATAGCTGTAATATTGCTGGGTGCGTCGTTAAACAATATACAAACCAAATTCCTCCACCTGGAACTGAGAGTACAAGAGATTTATCAACTGAAAGAAAAAGTAAACAGTCAAGAAGAAGACTTAAACTATGTTAGGTCCAGTTTTGATGAATGGAAAGGATGTAAGTTCAAATAGAAAAAAAGCATCATTACGTATCTTCTACGTAGGACTTATTATCTCCTACGTAGGAATGACTATCTCCTACGTAGGACTTACTATCTCTTACGTGGGACTTATTATGGCCTAAAAACACTATCTCCTACATAGGACTTAGTATCTCCTACTTAGGACTTAATATCTCCTACGTAGGACTTCCTATCTCCTACGTAGGAGATACTAAGTCCTAGGTAGGAGATACTAAGTCCTAGGTAGGAGATAGTAATTCTAGTCCATACTAAGTCCTACGTAGGAGATACTAAGTCCTACGTAGGAGATAGTAATTCTAGTCCATACTAAGTCCTACGTAGGAGATAGTAAGTCCTACGTAGGAGATATTAAGTCCTACGTAGGAGATCCCAGTAAGCACAGATGTTGTTCCTAATGTTTCTGATATTACCATTGCATGTGCCTCTATCACTGATTAACCTAAAATGCTGTGGTAGACATGTCATGTAATCCCAATACCAACAGACGCTGTGGATGGTATAACTATATTTGAAAACCATGTTACTATTACAGAAAGGCTTGACAATAATCCTGGGATAAATAGCTTATGTACACTATTGTAAATACATATGTTGATGTTTTCACAGGGAAGTCTTACACAACCGATGTTGATTTTGAAGATATTCCTGAAGTCATGTGAATATATTCATCAAACGTGAACAAATAAGTTGAAAATGAATTTAATGACCTGCCTGCTGCAGTGGTTTGGGGTAACCACACTTGTAGCACAGATGATAAAATAACATGTCGAAATAAATTGTCAAATGACACCATATATCAATGAAGATGTTATTGACATTGAAAATATGTGTAAGAACCTTGATTCAGAGGGCAGTAACAATGACGTTTCTACCATATATAAGCTAAAACAAGAACCCTGAGAAACCTATGCAATATAAACCTGGTGTAAACACAAATGTTATTGACATTGAAAATATGTGTAAGAACCTTGATTCAGAGGGCAGTAACAATGACGTTTCTACCATATATAAGCTAAAACAAGAACCCTGAGAAACCTATGCAATATAAACCTGGTGTAAACACAAATGTTATTGACATTGGAAATATGTGTAAGAACCTTGATTCAGAGGGCAGTAACAATGACGTTTCTACCATATATAAGCTAAAACAAGAACCCTGAGAAACCTATGCAATATAAACCTGGTGTAAACACAAATGTTATTGACATTGGAAATATGTGTAAGAACCTTGATTCAGAGGGCAGTAACAATGACGTTTCTACCATATATAAGCTAAAACAAGAACCCTGAGAAACCTATGCAATATAAACCTGGTGTAAACACAAATGTTATTGACATTGGAAATATGTGTAAGAACCTTGATTCAGAGGGCAGTAACAATGACGTTTCTACCATATATAAGCTAAAACAAGAACCCTGAGAAACAAATGCAATATAAACCTGGTGTAAACACAAATGTTATTGACATTGAAAATATGTGTAAGAACCTCGCCTCTGCCTCAGATAACAATACATATTTAGGGCAAATATCTCAAGTCAAGCAACTGTAAACACCAATGTTGTCAACTATGTATTTGATAACTTTTTGTAGGACTGATTAATGATGGTCCTACTTCATTTAACCTGGACAAATGTATATTTCCTTCAAATGAAACACATTTCATGCTCACAATGTATCTGATATTCTGAATACCACAGATCACATTCTGTATACAAATATTCCTGAAAAAGACGTTGAGGTAATTGCCCAAAATCAAATCAAAGCACAGGTGGTGTTAAAAATAAGTATGATACAATGGACTTTTTTGTACATATTTTGAATAACATTTTTTCCTAAAATAAGAAAATCAATTCTGTTGATGCAAATATTTTTACTCAAATATGTGCAAACACAGATGTACCAAATAACATTAATATCAGAAATGTCCTGAACGATCATACCTGTACCCAAGTTTTTTTAGAGAGCTCTTGAAGTAAATATATCATCTTAACCGTAGAAAACATATTTGCACTTAATATTGTAAACGCTGTAAATCAAGGTTCCGAGCTTGCTAATAATTGTGATGTTGCACATGATGTTGTTGTTGATGAAGACGGCGAGGATGATTACACTGATGATGATAATAATGATGTAATGATGGTGCTTATAATGACCGAAATAACACTCTTAATTTCTTAAGTTTAAATGTGGTGGCCTCAGACTACAAGTAATATATTGATCTAATAGCTAATAGCGATATACGTACATTTCAAGAAACAAGACAAACAGTTTGGATGAGTTAAATTTACCCGGATATATTTCGGGAAATGATAGGTAGAACATTTAAAGATAAAAGTTATATTGATTATGTTATTGTGTCGCAAATGTGCAATCCGCTCTTTTCTAATTTTAACATAATTGACTACTCATCCCTCAGATTCAAACATGCACTGCCCACTCAACGTTCCATTTTGCGCTGTTGTACCTCCTGTAAGTAATCCATGTAGAGGCATACCATGCGGTTATATAAATACCACTAACAAACTTAAGCTGTACACCCTTGTAAACTGATTTATACCCAGAGCCTATACATAGGGGACAGGTAAATCGACTCATGAAGATTGTGCACGAAGCACGGACAGGTCACGGCGACCCGTCGTGTATTAACAGACTATAGAATGAAATCGAGCTCGTACTTAACGTTGCTCGAGCAAAGGTACGAGAAACAAGTGTTTAATACAAACAACTTAACAAAAATAAACATTGGATACAGACTATCTCGAAATAAAATTAATAAAGCAAAAAACGTCCAAAAAACAGAAACAGCATTTTGATAAATTGGCATTTCACCAAGAATCAAAGGCTTACGAGGAATACATGAATAAGAATATACGTAAATTTAAATAAGACATTTCGTCAAATCCTTCACCTCTTGCTCAATTTTTTTTGTAAGATCCCTACTAAAAGTGGGAAAGAAAGCAATTCGAAAGCTACTGATATTAACTTCTTCTTTTTTATATAGCCAAACTCGATGATTCTGAATAAGAAGAATGTGCAAAACCTTAAATAATGATGTTACGACCGAAGATATAATACAAGCTGCAAAGAAACTAAAGAGAAATAAGGCTACCAGACTAGAATTTGTCGAGAATGATCATATCATAAACAGCATTGGATTTCCTGCCCCACTATATTCGGAGTTTTTCAATCTTGCCTCTCATCTGGTGTGATCCCTGAAACGTTACTGACAGGAATTAAAAAAACAATCTTCAAAAATAAAGGCGATCCATTTGATCCCATCTCGTATAGACCTTTTACAATACTAAGCTGTTTTTAAAAACAACAACCTTTTGACAGTATCCTAAATGAACGATTGACGAAATTTCGAAATGCCAATAATATCCTAACTCCAGCGCAGTCGGGATATAGGAAGTAATTTCAAACTGCGGATAAGATATTCGTCTGTCAAGAGAGTAGGACTTTGTAGGTGTGAAGCTCTTCTCCAAAAATGACTTCTTTATATCCCAAATAATTCTTAAATCTGGCCAAATATGTGTAAATTACGTAAACCATTATCACCTAAAAATATATCCACTCTCCACTACACCCAGATGTATTGTACATGTGAACACACTATTACGTTAAAGTGTCTATATTACTTATATGGTAAAGCACGCATGTTACAGTCTTTATCTTCATTGAATACATACTGTATGTTTTGGAGGGTTGTTTTTGTGCGTGCGAGAAAATAAACTGAAACTAATAGCTAATTCAAGTCATTCGCGCCAAAATTCATTGTATTCACTGCACATTTTCAGTTCCGGAGATGTCCGCATCTCGCGCATATTGATGGAGATGCCCATTGGGTAAACAAGCAAGTAATATCATTTATAGTTATTTGTAGTATTACAGACTGGTTTGACCCCCTTTCCAGGTGGGTGCCTCGCTTTTCGCAAGTAACGTCGGAGCGCCAATGTTCATTGGTTTAGCCGGAGCGGCTGCTGCATCCGGGTACTCCGTGGTTGTGTACGAATGGCATGTGAGTATATGTTCTTGACAAACTTTATAAGTAAGTTTTATAAATTATATATCCTTGAACACTTCGCCTTTCATATGTTCGTCATCACTGTGAAGATCCGAGGTAGAATAGGTCTTCAGCAACCATACTTGCCGTAAAAGGCGACTATGCTTGTCGTAAAAGGCGACTAATGGGATCGGGTGGCCAGACTCGCTGACTTGGTTGATGCATGTCACAGATCCCAATTGCGTGGATCGGTGCTCTTGATATCAATCACTGGATTGTCCTGACTCGATTATTTACAGACAGCCGTCATATAGCTGGAATATTGCTGAGTGCGGCGTTAAACAACAAACCAAATCGTCATCACTGTGGGGTATTCGATACATTATTTAAATGACAAGTGTGACGTCAAATTAGTGTCATCCTTTATATATACACATATATGTTTCTGTTCTAGGCCATATATTTACTGATAGCGCTGGGATGGCTTTTTGTACCAGTGTATGTGGCGAGTGGGGTGAGTATCAGCGTCTCAGCTTCCTTTGTACACTAAATCCTCATTAGTCCGGAACCCCCTCCAACCTAACCACCCCACCCCTGGGTGAAATGAGTGTGGCACCGTCTGGAGTAACGAGTTTTCGCTGTGTAGATAAATACGCTACTTGATGATAAGCTTCGGAATTAATTGTGATAAAATGAGTATAAATTTAAAATCGGCTGTACACCATATTTTGTTCAGCAAAAGACAATTATCATAGCCTACATTATATTTATGAAATCGAAAGTTCCTCGAATCGTCCCCGCTACAAATAATAAATGAATATAAGTTAAAATGCCAGAGGTTAGGTTTACGAAAAACAAAGATACGCAACGCGTGGCAAATTCATGTTTATTGTGAGTAAAACTGGCATAGTCCACACGTTAGGGATATTGGCAGACTTGATATGCAGCAAATCGCAGATAATGTCATCATACAGACACATGGCTGACGTCTGACATGTCGTTTGAACCTAGATGAATAACGAGCCATTTTGGAGTGGTAATACTCGCAGAAGATAGAACATAATGAAGTGAAGTTTGGAAGCGGCGCCATCGCCGCCCGCCTCCCCTTTCCATCGTGTGGTGCCTTGCCGCTGCAGACTTTCATCCTAGCTTCCCCTCGCTCTGGCCATGTAGCTGATGCCAAATACCCAGGCCACATCTGTAATACAAAAATCAGACAACTGAAAGAGTGATATACCAACTTAATTAATAGAAACAAATATAGTAAATATAAACTAGGTTAACCCTTATGGTGCCTGGCCATCCTTTGGCTTTATATACCGCTCAGTGCCGCACTGTCGAGGTTTCAAGAACGTGTACATTGTTTAAACGACCAGAATCAAGAGAATACACAGTTCAGACATGAGCTGGCATATACATTTAAGTCACACGAAAAGGCTGGAAGGTACAAACGCAATGTATGAACAAGCGTACGGTGGCTTACAATCTCAAGTGATACATTGATTTTATAAGGAATAATTTCACCCCAGCCCAAATTGTGAAGTAAATTAGAGAAGGAAACTTTAAGGTTGGATTTTTCAAAAGGCGGTTTATTTGTGGTACAGTGGTGTAATGTTTCAAATATTACAAAATTCTAAATTAAAGTACCGTAGATACGGGGTACTTGCCTTGGCACTTTATAAGAGAAATACAAATTAATGTCTAGGTAAGGAACTAGGACACAACTGCAGAGCATGTATTGGCTTGATAATAAATATCTACGATGCGCATAGCTCTTTCATAACCCAATGTCTTGTATAAGTTGGCCAGGCAAGCCTATTTCAAATCCCCAACCTCTGACTCTGCAAACGTCCCACGACGCCCTGCAGACGCTGAACGAGGCCTACACCACCTGTAAGAAATGAAATCCCATGAGAGCTTTGCAAACCAAGATCTCCGTACCATAAATAAGAATGGGTTTTATCTTAAAACAAACATTTAAATAAAATGTTAACTGGCATATTCACAAAGTGAAACTGCAGCATTTAATGGCAAATAAAGCCTTATTGGTTTTAGTCTTGAGGGTATCAACGCATTTAGACTAAGACAATCTATCTGAAAACAGAACACCCAGATAAGAAAAGTAAGTACTTATATTAATACGCTTATCATTAAAAAAAACATCGTTTATCATCCCTTAAAGTGCTACCTCTTCTATACACAAAAAAATCGGTTTTAGACATATTAATTGTAAGTCATTTTACAAAAATTGGATAAAATATCATTTCTTTTCTTTGCAGACCTATTACAGTGTCATCGAATATACACAAATCATCTGTATATAGTAAATGTAATATGTCCATGAATTCCTCTCCTAGAAAAAAATCCCCGCAAATCACTACTTTCTTTCATAAACAGCAATTCAAGGATAAACATCATGAACATAAAGGCCAAGACAGTTTTTTTATGCCCTGACAGCACACTGAATCTTGGAGTAAAGATCCTTCAAAACCACCAAAAAACAACCGTGTATTCCATTTTTCATTATTGAATACCACAAGAGCTTCTGGTTGATCGAATCGAACGCTTTTCGGAAATCAACAAACAAACAACAAAATCTACCCCGATGGTTCTTACATGTACATTTACTTTAAGTAAATGTTCCCTTATCAATATCATCTACAGTCTGCAAGGAACATTTTAAAATAGATAATGATCGTAAACCAATTAAACTTTATTATTGGTATTATTTGTTTTAAGGGAGAGCAGAATATAAAATAAGTTTTTAGTATTGAATTATGACAATTAAACTATCAAAATCGTTAATGTAAATTGTTTTCAGCAATTATATCTTTCCCTAATTTTCCTCTTTTTTTTGCTCTTGCTAAACATGCTGTAGCATGGATGAAACACATACAATTTTTAATTGACAAAAAACATCTAAATAAACACAACAATGCATTGATCTTGTTCTTAGACAAGATTTTATTTTTTAACACATTCTATTTGTTTTATTAGGAATACAAAACAAATTTAACATTACTAAATACGTACGTAAATCACATGACATTGGTCGAAGTAGTTGATAATTTAGATAATGCAGGGTAAAAAATATAATGAAAACTATTGAAACATCAAAACAAAATCACATCTACAATGAAAGCATTTTTTATTCAAAAACCAATTACCTATATATTGTGTGTACAAAATTATTACTATTTATGTTATTACTTAAACCTTTGGAGATTCTGATATTTGTGGCTGAAATATTAAAATGGCTGTTTAATCTTGGATCCATTTTGGCAACTTTTTTACTGTAAAACATTCCATTCCCTTACTCAACTATATGAAAATTATTGTTTTCGAATATCCCGCCTTCATACAGATATGGGGGCGGTCGGGTAGCCTAGTGGTTAAAGCGTTCGCTCGTCACGCCAAAGACCCGGGTTCGATTCCCGACATGGGTACAATGTGTGAAGCCCATTTCTGGTGTCCCCCGCCGTGATATTGGTGGAATATTGCTAAAAGCGGCGTAAAAACCATACTCACTCACTCACTCATACAGATATGAAAAACACTTCTTTACATGCCAAAATACCAGAAAAATGGGCCAAATTGTATTAATAGTGTTAGTCAAGCGGTGAACTGTCTTACACGTCGATCGCCGTGGAAATCTTCCCAATCATGATGTACATGTACAAGATCTACGTTCTAGTTCAGATCAGTTCAGTTAAAGAGAATATTATTAATTAGAAACTGAAACCACGTGTGTGCATTATACGACCACAACATTAAATCAGCTGTGTGACGCGACGTCATCCACGTCACAGCACGCGAGGTCAAACCACGAGCACCTGTCCAGACGACAAATTCACAGCTGCGGTAAGTCACCGACCGTCTGTTGTCCTACACAAATAAAATTGCACATTGTATCGCCACTGAACGAAAAAAACAAAGCGATTACTTATTACAGATAACATATCAAATAAAATTTAATGACTTATCAATACTTTGTAAATCTAATATTAATTAGATCAATAATATCCACTACTGCATGTTGGAAATACGAACCCTATCGTTTTATGATAATATATTCAATTTTCTGAGGAGATTAATCAAGTGTATTTGACGTGTAATCCAAATCGAAGCGGTTAACTCAAATGGAAAAAGGTATTGCTGTCATCATTGTAGAAGTTCTGTTGATGTTTCCAGTAAATGTATTATTTTTGTATCGCGTGTATCATGGACAGAACTTGCGCCCCTCATGGTTTATTCTCCCTGCAGTGTTTTATTGTACGATAAACAACTCCCAACTTTATTACTTAAATATGCGAGGTATATCCCCCTGGATGCCAGAGGGACATATATGTCCTTCCTTTACAACCCTCACTTTGAAGTCGAATAAAATTCAACATACATCATGCACACTAATACACATCACAGTTTTGAATAAGGTGGGAGATTCCCTGTTCTGTGATATTATTCATTTGCTTTTGAGGCCAAGCAAAGGTACAAAAAATGACCTCTGAAAATTAGGTACTTCGTAAATGTCGCCATGTTTTACACATTACTAAATCACCACTCGCCGCGTTATTTACAGCATGTCTTGGAATCTAAATTTCGGATATTTACTCCGAGAAATGAATTTCAAAAATAGCATATTAGTGATCATGGGTATCTGTCCTTTATGAAATCACCAATGATCATTCAAAAACGTCTCCGATAACCCTAGAATCGTTTAGAATGTTTTGGAAAATACGCAAACACGAACGCCGAAGTGAACTTTCCGCCATATTGGATAGTGTTTACAAAATCACTTTTCAGGTACACCGGTTATGAGGCGCCTGTAACATCCCGTATATTCCAAACTTTGCTGCGATACACACATCCTTGAATTCCTCATACATTTTAGAATCGAATGAACAATGGTCTTTGTCACCAATACGAAGTGGCTGGATGAAATCAAGCAATATAAGTCAGGTGTGAAAACGAACGCTGTGCTCGAAACACTGCACTTGTTTGAAGTGTAAACAAAGCAAAATACAGATTTTACACACTGTAGCATTTTCTCCTATTTTGAGCTATCCATTCGTCTATTCGTTCAAAATATTGGCTCAACATTTGCAGAATAGTCATGGGAAGAGAATCGTAGGAAGAAATAGGGAATTTAAAATAGATACATTGACAACTTCTGTTGAAAATATCAAATCATTGCAAAGTTACCGTCCTGTGTGACGCCATGACTGACGCAAAATCACGCACAACGACAACGGTATTTATCGGAATTTCTGACTATTTCGGTTTGTTTCAATGAAAATTATAACAACAAATAACAGTACATAGATTGTCAGAATGTTTCTGATTACTTACATGTCACATTTATGTAAATACGATCCCTGAATCAACGAAAGTCCCCTCGTAAAATCCCGCGTACTGTTGACAGTGAACACGCCATTTTGTAAAAGTCGGTCACAGGTAGTGATGTCATACGTCAACATTGTTGTACATATTTGGTAATTTCTTTGAGGTGAAGGTCTTTGAATGAGAGTGCACACGATCATTGTACCATGCTGTTTACAGTTTCAGTTATGATGCAGATTTTGCATATCTTTTATACATTTTTTCACACAATTAGATTCTAATTTCACTTTGGACATTTGTCAATGTTCAAAATGATATCATACGTAAATATCGGCCACAACATGTATGAAGGAACCTTGATAATCTCCTGTTTGTTTGAACATTGTTTACATAACAATTGATAGGTTTTTAGTGTCGCATACGATATTTCTTTCCTTTGGACAAGTGTTACAAGAAGTGTAAATGTAACTGCAGCATGTACGCATTTCTTGGGATGTGCAATAGTCAATATTATAAGTTCATATTAGCAATGTCCATGAATAGCCGTTTCATTTTATTTTATAACTAAAACTGAATATATTACTTTTGTCTTGGTCTTGGAACTGTTTTTGATGTCGTTTGATACACAGAACAGTGATATCTAACGATTCGCCAGGTGCGCGTTAGTCACACACATTTTAAGAATTATTCCTCTCGTTTTGCATTATATAATCAATAGGTTCATTCTTTTTTCAATATTGTGATCACGGGATATTAAACTGTTTACTTAATTTCTCCAGCAATTTTAAAATGTATAAAGTAAAATCCATGCCAGGTACAACGTTTGTTCAACCTTATACGATTATCCTGATAATTCTATACCAATATGATAGTGCTTTCTTCACATCTTTTATTGTTTCATTCTGAGACGAGATGAAGAGAAATACTAACATAATAATGAACAAATATATGTCCAATACTGAATATAATTTTGGTTGTTTTGAAATATTCTTTTGTGAATTTCATAACGTAAATTGATGCCAAACAGGTGCGTGTCCTGTCCAATTAAGATACACGATAAACTATCTAATTGTTTACATATTCAAGACATTATTTACTTGGTGAAAGCAGTAATTTTATGTTGTGTCGAAAAAGCGTCAAATTCCGTTTTACACATCGAGATTTTCCAAACCATGAACGAAAATTATGGGAGATATATATAAATCAAAATACCAGTGTCGTCTTTCTCCGACGTTATCAAAGACATAAAACCAGCCATGACGTCAAAAGGAATGGTGTTATTTTGGGGTATTTCATTACATTTGATGATAAAGCTAGTGCTCCATTAATAATGGTGCACCATAAGTCAAATTACACTTACACACTCAGGAGAATGTTGGAATATAAGGACTAAGTTATATGTTAGATAGGGCCATCCATTTCTCTATTACCTCTTTTTTATGAAGTACGATTTCATCATTTCTTGTGGCTTTTATTTATAAGAAAACGTATACAGTTTCAATATCGATATTTGTGTTGGAATAGTTTGGTTCCTCGTGAACGAAACACAACGAAAATACATTGTCCTTACCGACAGCTAATTCTCACCAATTGACCTGAGTTACAATAACCTAGTGCTAAGCATAGCGGAGTTATGCCCCCTTTTCTTTGTACGCGTGTAACCTCTCGGTCGCCTTTTGACGTCATAGAGAAAAATCAGTTTTCGTCATTTACGGCATGCTATTTTTGGCATTGAATGTATGTCGTTACACATACGCATATAACTCCATTTGATATATAGTTATGTCGTTCAGATATTAGGCAGTATTTTGTTCGCTGACAGTTTCCGTAAAGCTTCGAAATAAAAAAAATCGTCGCACAGTACTTTTATCGATGTACGATAAAAAGCGGAGAAATTTACTGTTTTTCAACGCAGAATAAATTCTCGGACAACACTTAGAAGCGTATTTCTTTAAAACCGGTTTAATATTTGCAGTTAATTTAACACCATCAAATAGGAAATTTAATATTCTCCACCTCTGAGTAATTTTATAGCCAGAGGTAGATCCAGTGCCGCGTGAGCGCAATTCTCGCACAACCTTCACTTTTCCGATCTTAGGAAAATGTGCGTCAGAAAAAAAACTCGGCATCCAGAGGGATATATACGTCATAGTTTTGCACGACAATCGAGTCTAACGATGACGCGAGGTGAAGTGAAGTAAATAACCGTTATGACGCGTAATGTGATAAACGCAGCTACTGATGACGTCACATGATGACGTCACTGTGGGAAGCTGCGCGAGCCGAGTTGGTGTTTACAAACATACGTTAATGGTTTGGCGACGCCAACAATAACACAATTTAGCGGTTAACGCTAAATGTGATTATGTTTAACGTGGTAAATAGAAGCTTCTTGTGCGTGTAACTGGCAAAGTCCACAAGTTAAGTATGTTTCAGGAGAAAACGTAGCCCTGCTGTGTTCCTCTGTTGCTAGTCATTCACGATGCCGGAGTATCTGCACAGGAGGTTTGGGGGCCGGCGGCTGCGCATCTACCTCTCCGTCCTCGCCCTGCTTCTCTACATCCTGACGCGCATCTCGGTGAGGAGGACTTTGTGTGGGGCACGGTGCATCGTGCATGTATCTGAACGTGATATTACCCAGCCGACATCCATCTTTACACACATGTTAGTCTATCATCATCATCGTCATCATCATCATCATCATCATCATCATCATCATCATCATCATACATATGATTCGACATTGCCGTGAATATCTCATAAAACCGAGATGTACTTTAATGGACATTGACATGCATATATCATAAAGCCGACATGTACTTTAATGGACTTTGGCATGCATATCTCATTAAGCCGACATGTACTTTAATGGACTTTGGCATGGATATCTCATACAGCCGACATGTACGGTAATGGACTTTTGCATGCATATCTCATAAAGCCGACATGTACTTTAATGGACATTGGCACGCATATCTCCTAAAGCCGACATGTGCGGTAATGGACATTGGCACGCATATCTCATACAGCCGACATGTACTTTAATGGACATTGACATGCATATCTCATAAAACCGAGATGTACTTTAATGGACATTGACATGCATATATCATAAAGCCGACATGTACTTTAATGGACAATTAACGCATATCTCATGAAGCCGACATGTACTTTAATGGACATTGGCACGCATATCTCCTAAAGCCGACATGTGCGGTAATGGACATTGGCACGCATATCTCATACAGCCGACATGTACTTTAATGGACTTTGGCATGCATATCTCATAAGGCCGACATGTACTTTAATGGACATCGACATGCATATCCCATAAAGCCGACATGTGCGGTAAAGGACTTTGACATGCATATCTCATACAGCCGACATGTACTTCAATGGACTTTGGCATACATATCTCATACAGCCGACATGTACTTAAATGGACTTTGGCATGCCTATCTCATAAAGCCGACATGTACTTTAATGGACTTTGACATGCATATCTCATACAGCCGACATGTACTTGAATGGACATTGACATGCATATCTTATAAAGCCAACATGTACTTTAGTGGACATTGGCATGCATATCTCATAAAGCCAACATGTACTTTAATGGACATTCGCATGCATATCTCATACAGCCGACATGTACGGTAATGGACTTTGGCATGCATATCTCATACAGCCGACTTGTACGTTAATGCACATTGACATGCATATCTAATACAGCCGACATGTACTTTAATGGACTTTGGCATGCATATCTCATAAAGCCGACATGTACTTTAATGGACTTTGACATGCATATCTCATAAAGCCGACATGTACGGTAATGGACTTTGGCATGCATATCTCATAAAGCCGACATGTACTTTAATGGACTTTGGCATGCATATCTCATACAGCCGACATGTACTTTAATGGACTTTGGCATACATATCTCATACAGCCGACTTGTACTTTAATGGACTTTGGCATGCATATCTCATAAAGCCGACATGTACTTTAATGGACTTTGACATGCATATCTCATTTAGCCGACATGTACTTTAATGGACTTTGGCATGCATATCTCATACAGCCGACTTGTACGTTAATGCACATTGACATGCATATCTCATACAGCCTGGTTGTACATTAATGCACATTGACATGCATATCTCATACAGCCGACATGTACTTTAATGGACTTTGGCATACATATCTCATACAGCCGACTTGTACTTTAATGGACTTTGGCATGCATATCTCATAAAGCCGACATGTACTTTAATGGACTTTGACATGCATATCTCATTTAGCCGACATGTACTTTAATGGACTTTGGCATGCATATCTCATACAGCCGACTTGTACGTTAATGCACATTGACATGCATATCTCATACAGCCTGGTTGTACATTAATGCACATTGACATGCATATCTCATACAGCCGACACGTACTTTAATGGACTTTGACATGCATATCTCATACAGCCGACTTGTACGTTAATGCACATTGACATTCACATCTCATACAGCCTGGTTGTACATTAATGCACATTGACATGCATATCTCATACAGCCGACACGTACTTTCATGGAGAATGAACACATACCTCATTCAGCCGACAAGTACTTCCTGGACTTTGGCGTGCATACCTCATAGAGCCGACAAGTACTTCCTGGACTTTGGCGTGCATACCTCATAGAGCCGACAAGTACTTCCTGGACTTTGGCGTGCATACCTCATACAAAATCCATAAACATGTATTCTCTCATTTGCACATATTCACATATGAATAGTCTGAGGTAATATTAGGCTACATACGGAAGTATTAATAACAACCAATTAGTCTGTATGGATGTGGTCATCCGGATAAATATGTAATTAATGTTTTAACATCTGCCTTATTCAGTCTACATTATACTTTATGCATTCATTGCATTACAAACGGCGAGATCTTTTTGTAATAGTTTTCTGAATAGTCTGCAGAAATATGTCCCTGCGGATAATTGAATAAAAAGTACACGCATTTCTATTTAAACAATTGCTTATAACAATGTCACATCTGATCTGGTGTTTCTAAAACGCATCGACTTTTCGTTCGTTGCTCAGTTTTATTTTCATTTAAACCCTTAAATGCATGACATTTGACAGAAATTATGCTGCAGTAATGAGTAGGAGAGATTTTTCTGGGAGCAGGCTCTGGTTCTGACGGGTAATTAAATAAAATTTACGTGCATTTGTATCATTTTAAACAAATCGCATACATGGTAATTGTTCTTATTGTTTTAAACAAGCCACTAGTGTTGATTAAGTATTTGGGGGAATTATTTTATTGTAAATTTAACCTGATGAACAAAGAGTTTGCCTAGGTGTTGATGCAACAAAATATTTCTTGTGTAGTTCGCGTGTAAAATATGTTCAATAATCATAACAGACCCGTGAAGATCCGGGGTAGGATAGGTCTTCAGCAACCCATACTTGCCGTAAAAGCCGACTATGCTTGTCGTAAGAGGCGACTAACGGGATCGGGTGATCAGGCTCGCTGACTTTGTCATCGTATCTCAATTCCATTGATCTGTGCTCATGGTGTCAATCACTGGATTGTCTGGTCCAGATTCGATTATTTACAGACCGCCGTCATATATCTGGAATATTGCTGAGTGCGGCGTTAAACAGCAAACAAACAAACAGAGTAATCATAATATACACTGCTAATCACAAGTACTTACCTCTATTTGTGTATATTGTTTTGCGATACCACAGTAGTACGATACGGTAATTCTTCAAACGTACCACTTTAATGACACAAACGAACCACTTTATTTCCGGGAACGTACCACGATAATTCCGCAAATGTAACACGTTAATTCCACAAGAGTACCGCGGTGATTCGGCAAAGGTTTCGCGGAGTTACCCCGGTACGTTGCCCGAACTGTACAGCGATAAAGAGGTAGTTAGTTGTGAGCAGTAGTGTAGTGGATGCTTCATGAATATGCCATGTTAACATGTTCTCTGCTTCTTCCCCTAGTCTGAGATCTACACGGGGGCGTTGTTTATACAGCTACTCCTCGGCTGGAACCTGTACTACTGCATCACCGGTATACTCACAGTAACAGCCTTCTACACCGTCTTAGGTCAGTGCGACACCAACCGCCTCACGTACTTGCTGTGATCCGTGAAGATTCGGGTAGAGAAGAGGTCTTCAGCAACCCATGCTTGCCGACTATGCTTGTCGTAAGAGGCGACTAACGGAATTGCTGTATCTCAATTGCGTAGATCGATGCTCATGATGTCAATCACTGGATTGTCTGGTCCAGACTCGATTATTTACAGACCGCCATCATATAGCTAGATATATTGCTGAGTGTTGCGTTAAGCAACGAGGAAATAAACAAACAAAAACGTACTTGCTGATGATGGCGATTTAACGAGCGCTTCCGGGAGACGCGATTCAGCACTCAGCCCACGCACTTAGCGAAAGAGCTAGAAACAATTGAGTGAGTCAGTGAGTCAGTGAGTATTGTTTTACGCCACATTTAGCAATATTCCAGCAATATCACAGCAGGGGACACCAGAAATGGGCTTCACACATTGTACCCAAGTCGAGAATCGAACCTGGGTCTTCGGCGTGACGAGCGAACGCTTTGACCACTAAGCTACCCGACCGCCTCTAGAAACAATGGATGTCTATTAAAGGCGCAATATATATTATAATTTATTGCTGTATTATTAATTTAAAACAAGTATTATGAATCATTATGATCAATATTAATGATGTCAAATAATCTGTGTGACGAGGCGGTCGGGCGGTCCAATAGTTTAAGTATCGGACCCCCAGCAATCCATGCTTGTCGACGAAATCGGGTGGTCAGGCTCGGTGACTAGGTTGACTGCGTTTCATCTAACCCCGATATTGTTCATAATTTCAATCAATACCTTAACTGATTGGTCCAAACTCGATTATATACAGACTGTCATAAAATAGCTGTACTCTGGCTAACTGTGGCCTAAACAGCCAAATAGACAAGGAATAACGCTGATAGCCTTGGTTTTTTCCGGGAAAGTAATGCTTCTCATAGACTGTTACGCACGTTTGTGATACTGCCAGAGTGTGAGTGAGTGAGTTGGGTTTAACGCCGCTTTTAACAGTATTCCAGTTATATCACAGCATGTCAGCTTAATGTGGGAGGAAAGCCCGAAGTGATGCAAATCTTAGACGTTTACCACTTCGGTGAAACCAACGAGCACGGGTATGGTGCTGACAAACCTAGAAACATAATCGGGGCGAACCGGGATTCAAACCCACAATCATAGGTTTCTGGCGTGCTCAAGGGACGCAACTCTGCACAGCGAGTCGCGGCGCCTTAGATGATTGGGCCGACCGTGCCCCCGATACAGCCAGACGAATAACCATAATCTTGCCTGGGATTCCAACCCGAGATTAGCAGATCCTGGCATAGCTAAGGCAGGTGATAACGCAGAGCAAATTACTCAGCATTAGACGTCATCCGTGGGTCTTTGTAATAAATGTTGTTAAGTATTTTGATATGCAATAGGTAGTATCTCTAATAGACTCTCAAACCCGGAAGTAATTAGAGACCCGGCGCTTATTATTTCAACTACGGTGTTGCAAAATTACAGACACTTATAAAATGACGAACGTGACCATATTTAATGTTATGAAATTCAACAAAAACAAACAAACAATTCCAGGCGGAAGTAATTTCAAAATTTAAATCTAATATACCCGGCCCTTATTGTAGGCCGGGTCTATTAGAGGGGATACGGTAGTATATGACAACGTGTTTGTGTTTGCAGGAGGATTGGCGGCGGTGATCTACACGGATACTCTACAAACCGTCGTTCTCCTAATCGGAGCGACCGTCCTTACAGCCACTAGTAAGTAGCAGATACCTACCTGTATGTAATGTGATATTGATATTACTTCACGAGTCAGATATTTGTAAACGAGTTGTTAGGTAAATGGTATCTGACAGGCACGACACAGTAATCTGTTTCTTAAACACTTTAAAATCGCGCTGTTTTAGCATGCATATTTTGTCTATTCTCACGATCACAGTGGCGCATTAATACATGACAAAACGGTCAATTGTGACGTCATCCTACCTACTGATTACTCCCCATACGTAGTGTGGCCCTCCACAAAAATAGTTTCCGTCATATCTGTGGATTGTTAGTGAGTGAGTGAGTATGGTTCTACGCCGCTTAAGCTTTTAGCAATATTCCAGCAATATCACGGCGGGGGACACCAGAAATAGGCTTCACACATTGTACCCATGTCGGGAATCGAACCCGGGTCTTCGGCGTGACAAGCGAACGCGAACCACAAGGCTACCCGACCGCCCCCTGTGGATTGTTAAGGCGATTATGATAATGCACACTGGACAAGATCAAAGAACATTTATTAACACCCTAAATCATAAGGTTTCGACACAGACGTATGTGAATTCAACTGAAGCATGAGTTACTTATCAGTGGATCACAAACAGGAAAGTAGTCCATCATAATCTGACCTTAGGTCATCACGATGGTGTAGCCAATCACGGACCTGGAATTCGAAATGACACATGTGTTTGATACTGGTTATGTCCAATGTGTTTCTCAGCCCCCGATTTGTGGAAAACGTTGTCACAACGTTCCCACAAAACAAAATATAACGTTCCCATGACGTAAAATACAACATAACCACATTGTAAAATACAACGTTCCCACAACACAAAATATAACGTTCCCAGCACGTAAAATACAACATTACCACAACGTAAAATACAACGTTCCCAAATCGTAAAATGCAACGTTACCACAAAGTAAGATACAACGTTCCAAAACGTAACTACAACGTTCGCATAACGTTTTGGCGAAGTGAAAATGATATAATACCTTTAGACCACAACATAACAGGGAGTCCAGAGACTGCATGTACGTAATAGCATAACATTGAGACAACGTACGACCGCCTCCGCCTCATACCAAGAGACGTTAAAAGATGGTACTTGTTGTTACCCTGCCTGGTGCTTGGCATTCAGGGGCTAAAACAAGGATTGGTCGGCCCGGAGTCAGTATACTGTGTCTGAGTGTGCTAGCACCGGACTAGTACAAGCACACACACACACACACACACACACACACACACACACACACACACACACACACACACACACAGAGAAAAAAAACACACACACACACAGAAACACACACAGAAACAAACACACACAGAAAAACACACAGAAAAAAAACCACACACACACACACACGTTAAACCCTATTTAACCTCCCCTGTGTTTAGAAGACATGTAATTGGGTAGACTGAGATACTGTCTCTCCAACAAGGGGGAGTGATTGAGTTGGGTTTAACGCCTCTTTGAACACTATTCCTGTAATATCACGGCGTGTTAGCTTAATGTGAGAGGAAACCTAGAAGTGATGCAGGTCTCAGACTTTAACATCTTTGCTGAAACCCATCATCACTGGTATCGTACCGGTACACATGGCTGGTCGAGTCAATCAAGCAAAAGTTTGGTTTACCGTGAAACGTCAATAACTCACTCTCCTTCAACTCTATATAACGTTTAAGACTCCGTTTGTCTCGAACTACCAATACATCGATGCATTTCCCCCACAACATCGAGTTCACTGTACTTTTGTTTCACACAGCAATAACTGGCCACCTTCAATGCTGTAGGGCGAGCGGGTGGCCTCGTGGTTAAAGGGTTTGCTCGTCACGCCGAAGACCCGGGTTCGATTCCCGACATCTTTACAATGTGTGAAGCCCTTTTCCGGTGTCCCCCGTCATGATATTGCTGGAATATTGCTGAAAGTGGCGTAAAACCACGCTCACTCACACACTTCAATGCTGTAGATACATTTTAAGATGCAAACACCTAGAAAAGAGTCGAGCACTGCACCGAGTTTTCTGAATCGACATTTAAGCATCGATCTTCATCAGTTTTATTTATTTTTAATCAAGAGGAAATAATTAACTTAAAAACGTCCTCAGACATATTTGTGAAATTGAAACTTCCTCTTCAAATTTATACTAAATGCTTTCAAACACATTATAATATTCAGTTAAACATTGATCATTCTTAACGAATACTACTATAGGTTTCAAAGAAATTGGTGGATTTGAGGGTTTGCATGAAAAATACAAACTGGCGGCTGCGGAATATGCGTTTTCCAATACAACTCTTTACTCATGTGGACTTCCCCGGAACGACTCGTTCCGAATATGGCGCCACCCCGTGACCGGAGACATCCCCTGGCCTGGCGCCCTGACTGGGCTGAGCATCCTTGGACTGTGGGTGTGGTGTAGTGACCAGGTGACTTCAGATAGAGCAGTCTCTCGTCACGTCTCACGACTATATACAGTTAAATATTTTTTGGCAAAAGAACAGGGAAGGTTTACTTATATACTGCCGGGTGAAAGAAACGACACCTATGTTTGATGGTGGCTTAAATTGAAACAAACAAGAATCAATTATTCAATAGTGATGCATTTGATACCAGTATTATAGTTGTGTTTTGGACCTTAAGCTTGCAGTGTTTCGGAGATTGTTTTCAGCCTACAACGTTTTGATAACAGTAAAGACAAGATATTATATGGATGACTACCTCTTTATTATAAAAAGAATGTTTATAACGAACACGCTTATAACGAACCGATGGATATAACGAACTGTTTTTCCCTGTCTATTTGCTGTATGTATGCTTTATATATGCTTATAACGAACTACGGTTATAACGAACTCAAAAGGACCACTGATTTTAGTTCGTGATAACCGTATTTTACTGTATCAGGAGGCGACGTACCGGTACAGCTCACAAATACCGTTGTCAAGCATGAGTGAAGTAAAACAGCACAGTACAGGCTTATATTAATCTACCGTATTCGACGTAATAAGCGCCCTGGGCGCTCTCAAAATAAGAATAAGGGGGTTCTTATTAGAATATTAATTTGGTGACAAAAACAGAGTTGAAAGATAAATTTCGTGGTTTATGCTGACAGCCTGAAATGTTTATGTACGACAGCTAATTTTTACAGAATTTAATTCCCCATAATTAACGGTGCATATAACACACGAGTGCGTATTATACGCGAATAAATAAGTCTTGTGTACATTGGTCAATCAGAAGGGGTGCTAATTGGGATTGTTCACTAGCTAATATATTAGCAAATATCGCAGTGGGCGCTTATTAGAGCGGGGCGCTTATTCCATCGAATACGGTAATAAGGATTAACATAAACAACAGGGGGTATACATGAAAGGGATGAAGGGGAACAAAAAAGGATAATGGTTGATTGATATAAAGAATATAGAACGTACAGAAGTTGTCATCCATAAAATAAGTCCTTTCTGTCATTTACCAACTTCTAAAATTGCTAATCTAACAGTTTGTCTTTATAAGGTTTGTGATATTTTGGTTAAATCCAATTTTCATGAGTGTTCTCTCTTTTGTCCGGGAGTTTGTGTGCAACATGTTTTTCTGTGTTAAACATGATTTCTAAACCATTCTCACCGTCAAAAGAAACGCGAACCATGAACACATATCAAGTTGGTTGGTTTGTTGTTTAACGCCGCACTCAGCAATATTTGAGCCATATGACAGCGGTCTGTAAATAATCGAGTCTGGACCAGACAATCCTGTGATTGACATCATGAGCATCGATCTACGCAATTGGGATCGATGAGATGCATCAACCAAGTCAGTGAGCCTGATCACTCGATCCCGTTAGTCGCCTTTTCAGCAAGCATTGGTTGCTGAAGACCTATTCTTCCCCGGATCTTCCCGGGTCTCATTGTGATGTACTATCGGTAACTTTCCGAAGTGAACCAATTAATGACAGAACTAACAATCAGTCAAGTGTCACCACAGAGTGTCCTTATGCTTATCACGATTTACTGCACGTGATTTCCAAACTTTACACTCTAATCCTGCACGAGACAAATGGTGCATCTCGAGTTGTCGATCTATGACGTCACATGTGGTGCGTTTTTGAGCGTCGGTTCACACAATATACGTTTGTGCATCAAACCAAACTCATATTTCTTGGATATGAGTACTTCTTCATCTATTAAGCAACATATAATTGTATTCGCGTTTCTAATGTCGGTGAGTATACCTGTATATAAATGACCCCATGCAAATGGCAGATATTGTTTTTGTGTATTTTTGACAGGTTATTAGACAGTATACTTCTTCCTCGGCTGTCGCTTTAAAAGTTTCAAACATCTACTGTATTTGTTCGTTGCAATACACTTGATCCATACCACTGAAAAGAAGTGAAGGAACACCCGATTATTGTACAAATGTCATATAATAACATGGTTTCATTTTAATGTACAATAGACTAACACGTTATCAACCTTCTGGTATATTATACCCGTGAATTCCATGTGTCTCAGATCATCGTCCAAAGGTCACTATCCGCAAAGAATATGGTCCACGCTAAGGGAGGTTCGCTGCTTGCTGCTGCTCTTAAAATAATCCCGTTCTTCTTGTGGATCATTCCTGGCATGGTCAGCCGGGTGCTCTTCCCAGGTACATGTACCGCTGTTCCCCTAGAGTGAGATAGTGTGTAGGTACATGTACCATTGTTCCCCTAGAGTGAGATAGTGTGTAGGTACATGTACCGCTGTTCCCCTGGAGTGAGTGAGTGTGTGAGAAGGTACATGTACCGCTGTTCCCCTAGAGTGAGTGAGTGTGTAGGTACATGTACCATTGTTCCCCTAGAATGAGTGTGTGAGCCGGTACATGTACCGCAGTTCCCCTGGAGTGAGTGAGTGTGTGAGAAGGTACATGTACCGCTGTTCCCCTAGAGTGAGTGAGTGTGTAGGTACATGTACCATTGTTCCCCTAGAATGAGTGTGTGAGCCGGTACATGTACCACAGTTCCCCTGGAGTGAGTGAGTGTGTGAGAAGGTACATGTACCGCTGTTCCCCTAGAGTGAGTGAGTGTGTAGGTACATGTACCATTGTTCCCCTAGAATGAGTGTGTGAGCCGGTACATGTACCACAGTTCCCCTGGAGTGAGTGAGTGTGTGAGAAGGTACATGTACCGCTGTTCCCCTAGAGTGAGTGAGTGTGTAGGTACATGTACCATTGTTCCCCTAGAATGAGTGTGTGAGCCGGTACATGTACTGCAGTTCCCCTGGAGTGAGTGAGTGTGTGAGAAGGTACATGTACCGCTGTTCCCCTAGAGTGAGTGAGTGTGTAGGTACATGTACCATTGTTCCCCTAGAATGAGTGTGTGAGCCGGTACATGTACCGCAGTTCCCCTGGAGTGAGTGAGTGTGTGAGAAGGTACATGTACCGCTGTTCCCCTAGAGTGAGTGAGTGTGTAGGTACATGTACCATTGTTCCCCTAGAATGAGTGTGTGAGCCGGTACATGTACCACAGTTCCCCTGGAGTGAGTGAGTGTGTGAGAAGGTACATGTACCGCTGTTCCCCTAGAGTGAGTGAGTGTGTAGGTACATGTACCATTGTTCCCCTAGAATGAGTGTGTGAGCCGGTACATGTACCACAGTTCCCCTGGAGTGAGTGAGTGTGTGAGAAGGTACATGTACCGCTGTTCCCCTAGAGTGAGTGAGTGTGTAGGTACATGTACCATTGTTCCCCTAGAATGAGTGTGTGAGCCGGTACATGTACTGCAGTTCCCCTGGAGTGAGTGAGTGTGTGAGAAGGTACATGTACCGCTGTTCCCCTAGAGTGAGTGAGTGTGTAGGTACATGTACCATTGTTCCCCTAGAATGAGTGTGTGAGCCGGAACATGTACCGCAGTTCCCCAAGAGTGAGTGAGTGTGTAGGTACATGTACCGCTGTTCCCCAAGAGTGAGTGAGTGTGTAGGTACATGTGCCGCTAGTTCTCCTTGAGTTAGTAAGTGTGTAGGTACATGTGCCGCTAGTTCTCCTTGAGTGAGTGAGTGTGTAGGTACATGTGCCGCTAGTTCTCCTTGAGTTAGTAAGTGTGTGAGCCGGTACATGTTCTGCTGATCCCCTAGAGATAGAGAATGAGTGTGCTGGTACATGTACCGTTGTTCCCCTAGAGTGAGTGAGTGTGCAGGTGCATGTACCGCTGTTTACCTGGAGCGAATTAGTGAGAATGCAGGGCACTCTTCCCAGTTGTATAGCTTTGATCTCACCAACATTAATTATAAACATAATCCTACATTGCAGATGAAGTTGCCTGTGCATCCCCTGATGCATGTTATGCTGTGTGTCAGAACAGGGCGGGATGCAGCAACATTGCCTACCCGCTACTGGTGCTCCGGATACTGCCAGAAGGTAGGTTGTGTCAGAACAGGGCGGGATGCAGCAACATTGTCTACCCTCTACTGGTACCCCGGATACTGCCAGAAGGTAGGTTGTGTCAGAACAGGGCGGGATGCAGCAACATTGTCTACCCTCTACTGGTACCCCGGGTACTGCCAGAAGGAAGGTTGTGTCAATATAAGGCTGGATGCGGCAACATTGTCTACCCTCTGCTGGTGCTCCGGATACTGCCAGAAGGTAGGTTGTGTCAATATAAGGCTGGATGCAGCAACATTGTCTACCCGCTACTGGTGCTCCGGATACTGCCAGAAGGTAGGTTGTGTCAATATAAGGCTGGATGCAGCAACATTGTCTACCCTCCAGTGGTGCTCCGGATACTGCCAGAAGGTAGGTTGTGTCAGTACAGGGCAGGGCCCAGCAACATTGTCTACCCTCCACTGGTGCTCCGGATACTGCCAGAAGGTAGGTTGTGTTATTAAAAGGTGGGATGCAGCAACATTGTCTACCCTCCACTGGTGCTCCGGATACTGCCAGAAGGAAGGTTGTGTCAGTACAAGGCAGGATGCTGCAACATTGTCTACCCGCTAATGGTGCCCCGGATACTGCCAGAAGGTAGGTTGTGTTAGTACAAGGCAGGATGCAGCAACATTGTCTACCTTCTACTGGTGCCCCGGATACTGCCAGAAGGTAGGTTGTGTTAGACCAGGCGGGATGCGGCAACATTGTCTACCCTCCACTGGTGCTCCAGGTACTGCAAGAAGGTAGGTTGTGTCAGCTACAATGTCTTCCATACCTTTCATTGTCTACCACCAGAGCTCTCCTCACAGACCGTTCGATATGACGACCATCTCAGCAAACCCTTGTGCTTAAGAGAAATCGTTTAACACTTTGATGAAAAAGAGACACATAAACAGTCTGCACGCTTATAACAAAGTCATGTGATATGTCATGTGATGATCACGTTCACGACAATCATTTCCATTTGAATTATTCACCAGGGTTGCGAGGACTGATGGTAGCTGCGGCCCTGGCTGCCCAGATGAGCACTTTGACGTCCATCTTTAATAGCGCGAGTAGTATGTTCACGATAGACATCTGGCCGTATTTGAGGAAGAACCCGTCCAATAATGAACTGATGGTGGTTGGACGCTTGACAGTGATGGTCTTGACAGGGCTGGGGATTCTCTGGTTACCCATACTGCAGCAGTCCCAGGGGGGACAACTCTGGGCATACCTTCAAGCTACAGCGGCTTACACTGCACCTCCGTGGACCATGGTGTTTCTACTGGGCATGTTCTGGAAGAGGACAACTGAGCCGGTTTGTTTCAATCTTCGGTTGCCTTGTTGTCTCAGTTGTGTCCGGAGTCTATTCGATACATGCAGATATATGAGTAGTAGGTAATCCTTGCTCCATATGATGTATTGGTCATTAATGAGTGTTAAGCGAGTGTTTAGCTTTACATGGCGCCTGTGGTCATAATAGTTAGGCGAGTGTTGTGATGTGATTGGCTTCTTGCGTCACGGGTGATAGGCGAGCGTTGAGCTGGGCGCAGCGTCTTGTGTCCTGAATGTTTGGTGTTTTGTGCTGCACCAGGAATCTTGTGTCACCGTGCTGTGCATGGCGTCTTGTGCCATGAACGTTTGATGTGTTTTGTGCTGTGCATGGCGTCTTGTGTCACCAGTGATGGGCGAGTGTTGTACTGTGGATGGCGTCTTGAGCCATGAAAGTTTAGGGTTTTTTGTGCTGCAACTGGCGTCATGTGTCGTGAATGTTTGGAGGGTGTTGCGCTGTTCATGGCGTCAGTGTTGTTCTGTGCGACATGTCTTTAGTCAGGCGAGTTTTTTTGTTCATGGCGTCTTACGTCGTACGTGTTGTGCGAGCATTACGCCATGAGAGTTTTGTGAGTTCAACACTTAATGGCGTCTTTCTTCACGTATGTTACCGTATTGTCTATAGTCTTCAGTGTTTATCATCAGCGTTTCTATAAGCTACGACTACTGGGTCAACATGTTACAAAACACCTAACCAGTACATTTCCGATTGGCTACATGCTCTAAGTGTGGGAGTGAGTATGGTTGTACGCCGCTTTTAGCAATAAACCATCAATATCACGGCGGGGGACACCAGAAATTAGCTTCACACATTGAACCCATGTGAGGAATCGAACCTGGGTCTTCGGCGTGACGAGCGAACATTTTATTCACTAGGATACTCCACCGCTCTACATGTTCTAAACTAAACTGTTATGTTAAATAGTCGAGTCCAGGCAAGAATGCCAGATTTCCATTCAAAGACAATCTGCCGTTACATCTGTGTCTTGGCACAGATTCTTCAGCTCAATAATAGTGAAGACTGCGGTGGCCCATAAGGGACATGGAGTCTGTTTTTCAATATTTTGATATTTCACTTACTTTTATCGTAACCTTTTGCAAATTAACACAATGTGTCATACAAATATGTGATAAATCATGTATAAAAACAACTGAAAACATGGAAAATGTACTTTTAAGTAGCTATTGAATCGCTGAAATGAAAACGTCAAAAACAAAAAAAACACGAAAAGGTCAAAGCTAAAATGAAAATGTCAAAAACAAAAACGAAAATGTCAAAAACTAAAATGAAAAATACAGAAAAGTATTTCCACCGCGGTGATAATATTTACACCGCGAGCGATTCAATATCTACTTTATACATGATTTATCACATATTTGTATGACAAATCGTGTTAATTTGCAAAAGGTTACGATAACAGTAAGTGAAATAACAAAATATTGAAATACAGACTCCATGTCCCTTATGGGCCACCGTAGAAGACTGATAACATAACTTAAAGATGCCACTGCTGTTTCGTTAAACTTGAACATAGTGTTTGTAACAGTGCTGTTAAAAATAATGTCCGCTACCTCCTCACAGGGCGCCTTCTGGGGCCTGATGGTTGGACTAGCAGTTGGCCTGCCTAGACTGTGCCTGGAGTTCATCTTCCCGGCGCCACTCTGTGGAAGTGGAGAAGCAGACGAGAGACCCACCGTCTTGAAAGATGTCCACTTCCTGTACTTCGCCCTTATCCTGGCGGCTGTGTCGTCCTTCGTCGTCGTCGTCATCAGTCTCAAAACTGAGCCAAGATCTCCGGAAAAGGTATAGAATTTCAGAATCTTATCTGTTCTGAGTAGAGTGAGTGAGTAATATTCCAGTAATATCACCGCGGGGGACACCAGAAATGGGCTTCACACATTGTACCCATGACGGGAATCGAACCCAGGTCATCGGTGTGACGAGCGAACGCTTTAACAACTAGGCTACCCTACCGCCACAGTCTGATCTGAAATGATGTCACGTGTTCTCTGAGACGATGTTCAAAACCCTTTGCTTTTAATACTTTTCAAACATTTCTTCAAACATCAAATTTGTTTAAAAAATTAATGAATGAATCACACATACCATAGTCCTCACAACTTGAAGTAGAATCAATCAAACTCAGTGATGCTATTCAAAGCTAAGATAGTGCCATTTTCTTGAAAAGCACAATTTTTGTCATTACTGTAAGTTATATTCTTTTTTTTGTGGAATGGCTTGTTTCCACTTTATAGTATTAGCACACATGTAGCTATCTTCGTTAGTTAATCATCGCGGTATTTCGTGATTCTATTTCAAGTAGCGAGGACTGTAGTGACGAGTGCCAGAGAGAGACTTCATGACATAGATCTACGCAATAGGGATACGATGACAAGCATCAAGCAAGTCAGCGAGTCTTACCACCCGATCCCGTTGGTCGCCTCTTAGACAACCCAAGGCGCCTTTTACGGCAAGCATGGGTTTCTGAACACCTATTTTTACCCGGATCTTCACGGGTGTACTTTGGAATGGTTCCACCCAGTACTGACTATGTTATTACATGTTTTAGCTACGGCGGGTGACGTGGTGGACGAGGCATGAGGAAGAACCGGAATTGTCTGAAGACGAGGAATCCCCGGGCACCGACGAAAGTAATGAAATGGCGATAGAAGAGCCTCAAGAAACAGACGTGGAAGACGAAAAGACGTTTAGTCACAGCGTCACCACCAGGAACAATGGTAAGATGTGGATGTGATGTCATTTGAAGCACTCACGGTTGTTAATTCCACACGACAGATTGAATTTCATTCAGTTAAAAAATGGATTTTGTTTCTGACGTCAAAACGGTTGCATTGCCCTTGCATGTGTTTGTGTGGGTACCGCCGATGTGGCAGGGTAGGCTCGTCTTTTCATCTCAAATTTTCCCTTTTTCAAGTAGAGTCCATTTCGAAATATACACTCATTTCTGACCGAACAGAATAGTATCCTTTGATCTCGATATCAAACTACTTTTAAACTGGTTTTGTGAGTTTTCAGAGTTTTCTATAGCTCTTCATCTAGTATCTAATTTTAGTTTATTGTTTTAAATGCTTTAGTCCTGTTTAGTCATGTGAGATTTACCACAATCGTAAATGCACTGAAAAGCGGAAGCTTTGTGTTTCGGTCCCCTCGCCGCGTCATACCTAAAGTCGGGACTTGTTGTTACCCTGCCTGGAACACGACATTAGAGGGATAAAACAAAGACTGGTTGGCTTACAGTCAGTATGTTGTGTCTAAGTGGTGAATCCATGTTAAACTGCGGCATGGTATCTCAGTTGGCTGGCACTATAACACTGCGGACCAGTACAAGCAGCCACGCACATGCACGTCGCTGTATACATGCAATAATCTTGAACGTGACGTTACGCCCCACTTCACCTCACCGCTCAGACATTCACCGCTTAAATGATAACCCCAAGAATGAGTAAGGTGCTCACAAACCAAAGAAAATGACTGGGATAAATCTGGGACTCGAACTCAAAATCGTATCCTTGGAGCTCAAGGACTTTATTCCACACTGTCAGTTTGAAGTAAAAAGAATGACCTCGTGCATTTCCGCAAATTGATTCACGAAATAGCTAAACGATGTTTCTGTTCCTTTTAGGATGCTGCAGAAAAGCAATCAGTTGGCTGTGTGGGTTTCAACAACTATCCCAAACAAATTTGACGAAGGAGGAGAGGAGAGCGCAAAGGAAACGTTTAACCAGTCTCCAGGAGACCGGAAATGCGAAGCATTTTCTCAACGCGGGCGCCATCATGTTGGCGACATTGACGGCGTTTCTTCTTGGCTACTTCGACTCACGTTGATACCTTTTCACGGACACATCTTTAAGGGACACTGTTTTTCCTCTGTGATGAATATAATACATAGGCCAGTGCACAGGCTCGTCAGACAAACCAAGATTAACGATCGGTTTAGGATCAGAATAGTTTTTCACCTGACTGATTATTAAATTAATTATTGGTGTTAGCTGCTAAGAACTAGGTTAGGTGAAAAAATCCAAACAACAACAGATACAAAAACCTTTGCCATTGAGATTCAGGGTTCGAATAGGTCCCCCAGCAATACCTGCTTGTCGGAGGAGGAGACGCAAGGGTCTGGGGGTCAGGCTCAGTGACTTGATTGTGAGTCATCGTACCCAGGTGGCGTAGATAGATGCTCATGATGTCTACCACTGGATTGTCAGGCCCAGACTCGATTATTTACAGACCACTGTAATATAGCGGGAATATTGCTGAGTGTAGTGTTAAGCAACAAACAAATAATTGCTCGAACGTCCTCAAGTCACAGGGGTTGGATGATGACGTTCTGTGACCGCGTCATCCCACCTCATCTGATCAGGATATGATGATGATCAGGCTCTCTCTGGGTGTCATCGTTCCTGATGACGTGGGCCGCTGCTCATGCTTTCAGTCACTAGTTTGCCCGGTCCAGACTTGATTATTTACAGAGGTGATCAAAATATTTGGCGTTAAACAACATTCAATCACTTCCTCACTCTGCTGACACTAGGCTACCACAAGTTGAATGTTCTTTGGGAGACATTACAGATGTTTCGAAGCAGGTTTAACTAATCCTGAATAATAAAATTGGGGCACGGGTTGCCCAGTCGTCTGAGGCGCCGCAATTCGCTGGGCAGAGTTGCGTCTCGTTGGCGTCTCCCAAAACCTATGATCGTGGGTTCGAATCCCGGTTGGCCCCGACTTTGTGTCTAGGCTGTCTGCACCATACCTGTGCTCGTGGGTTTCCCCACAGGGGAACAGATGCAGTTGGGGGTCTTCCTATCACAACAAGCGGACGCTCCGTAATATAATCAAAATACATTTATAGCGGCGTTGAACCAGGAGTTCTTTTTTCGGATAAAACGAACGTTAAATATTTGGTTCGTTACAACGACCATTCTCGATATCAGACTTGGTTATATCGAGAGTTTACTGTAATTCATTCTTATAATCTTGCCATTGTTATTGTAACCTACTTTCATTCTGTTCACATTCTGACCGCCTCCGTGGTCTAGTGGTAGGGCGTCTGCCCGGAGAGCGGGGGGTCTGGGGTTCGCTTCCCGGCCGCGTCATACCAAAAGACGTTAAAAGATAGTACTTTTTGTAACACTGTCTTGCGCTCGCCATTGAGGGGCTTAAACAAGGACTGGTCGGCTCGGAGTCAGTGTACTGTGTCTGAGTGGCATATTCATGTTAAACTGCGGCATGGTATCTCAGTGAGCTAGCACTATAAATCGGCATCAGTCTGGGCTAGTACAAACAGCCACACACACACACCCACGTGCTTGCACGTCGTTATATAAGTGCAATAATCTTGGACGCGACGTTAAACCCCATTTCACCTCATCTCACCTCACCTCACCTCATCTCACCTCACATCACCTCACATCACCTCACCCCACCTCACCTCACCTCACCTCACCTCATCACACCTGTTCACATTCTTTTCAATCATTCATGCGTATCACGAACATGTGTTCAACAAGGAGGAGATGATAAACAATGTTTTTGAAGTATGTCCCCTCCAGCCATCACATTCACACGCAACTGTAGCTAAAGAAGCATCAGCGTTGTTTCATGCCAAATAAATACTTTGTAAAACAAAGTGATCTCAGATGTATATTTTATTTATTTTAACTCCCTCTGGAAGAGTTTAAAAATGAAATTAATATGATCAAATCTGATACAGATTGAAAGCATAATATATTACCCATGTCTTTGACATGAAATATTGTCTCATATTTACGAGAGAGGCCAGCTGTGTACCATCCTCAATTATCCAATATATCAAAAATCTCCTTTTTGGTAAGTACCCTGGGCCCATTCTCAACCGTAGGGGGCGGTGGGGTAGCCTAGTGGTTAAAGCAATCGCTAGTCACGCCAAAGGCTCGGGTTTGATTCCCCTTATGGGTACGATGTGTGAAGCCCATTTCTGGTGCCCCCAGCCGTGATATTGCTGGAAAAGTGTTAAATCAGCTTTAAACCATACTCACTCACTCGCAACCATACTCGCTCACTCAGTCATAGCTTCGTTTTCAACCGTATTCGATTTGCAGCCAGATATTACCGTCCAGATTACATTCATGAGAGAAAGAAATTGTGTGTTAAGTTCGTTGTAAGAGAGCTGCAGGCGTGAGTTCCGAAACGAAGCTTTGCTTGTGAATGGTTCCAAGGTATTTATCATAACAATATGCAGATATTAAACCCTGGATCGTCGAAGATGGTTGGGTATAAAGGATACACTTATTTTTTATGATCACATTGGTCAAATCATCGTTTCGCATCTCTGCATCATGTCTTACACAGAACGAAAGAAATAAGGGACCTCTTTTGTTGCCATGGAGCATTTATACTGTACACAGCAGTGATCAGTCTTTGTTGTATTACTACGCGTTCGTTCTTGCCATCCACAGGGATTACACACCAAATATTTAATCCTATCATCACATGGCGTCATTTTCTTTCTATTCTTTCTATGACGTGTTTGTCGTTGTTCGTGTCACACGTTTATATAAATAAAATGCATAAATACTTGTGAGAAATAAACATTTCAAACGTGAACTTTGTTACATCTATGTTTTAACAAGCCAATGCATATCCCATAGATATGTTCATGTTTTAGGGCGCCTGTGTCATATTTGCAACTTCATTTCAAATATCAATATTTGTCTATATTAGTAGAATGGTACCCTAAGCCCCATGCGAGGCCAGGGGCGGTCGGGTAGCCTAGTGGTTAAAGCGTTCGCTCGTCACGCCAAAGACCCGGGTTCGATTCCCGACATGGGTACAATGTGTGAAGCCCATTTCTGGTGTCCCCCGCCGTGATATTGTTGGAATATTGCTAAAATCGGCGTAAAACCGTACTCACTCACTCACCCATGCGAGGCCACGGGTACCCTAGTTGTATTTCTTGGCATGTCATCGTATCCCAATGACGTGGTCGTTGCTCATGATGTCAATCACTGGATTGTTAGATCCAGACTCGATTATTTACAGACCGCCGTGAAAAAGATGAAATTCTCCTGAGTGCGGCGTTAAACAACAAACAAACAAACAAACGGGATACGGACATTGGTGTCCAACGTGGGGATGAACACGTTCATATCAGATTTGAGGTGAGGTGAGGTGAAATTGGGTTTAACGTCGCGTCCAAGATTATTGCACTTATATAGCGACGTGCATGCAAGTGTGTGTGGCTGGTTGTACTAGTCCGGACTGATGCCGATTTTTAGTGCTAGCACACTGAGATACCATGCCACATGAATACCCCACTCAGACGCAGTATACTGACTCCGAGCCGACCAGTCCTTGTTTTAGTCCCTTAATGTCGAGCGCCAGACAGGGTAACAACAAGTACCATCTTTTAACGTCTTTTGGTATGACGCGGCCGGGGATCGAACCCCGGACCTTCCGCTCTCCGGGCGGACGCTCTACCACTAGACCACGGAGGCGATCTTTCAGATTTGATCCCCTAAGGGTCCAGTGCCGTAGTATGCGGCCCGTGACGTACGTTCTGTTGACCAATGTAGCAGGGCGTGGAATCATCCCACTGATGACATCCTTACCACGTAAGCTTACACGTGAAGATCTAGTTAGAATTGGTCTTCAGCAACCCATGCTTGTTACAAGAGGCGTAAACGGGACCGGGGGGTCAGGCTCCTGTTTAGGTTGATGAATGTCATCGTATCCAATTATGTAGATCGATGTTCATGACGTCAATCACTGGATTTCTGGTTTAGAATCGATTGCTAACAGCCCGGCGCCGTTTAGCTGGAATATTGCTGAGGGTGGCGTCAAACAACAAACAAACAACAAACAAACCACGGGCCTCGAAATTCTTATGGCCGCTACAACTGCATCGCTCCGGGATTGCTTCCCACATTAAGGGAATGGCGGGGTAACCTAGTGGTTAAAGCTTTGGCTCGTCACACCAAAGGCCCGGGTTCGATTCCCCACATGGGTACAATATGGAAACCCACTTCTGGTGTCTCCGCCGTGGTATTGCGGGAATGTTGCCTGATGCGGCATAAAACCATACTCACTTCCACATCAACCTGACACGCCGTTCAAAGTGGCGTTAAACCAAACTCACTCACTCACTCACTCAAACCGTCACTAATGTATACTCTAGGTCAGTGTTCACTGTGATGAGGTTCTTATAAATCATATTGTGTTTTGAAGCACAATGACTCCCAAATAGCTTTCTAAAGATGTGAGGTTTTAACACAAGACAATGTGAAATGCCTTGTTGTTTTCACACCCAATTAGAGTTGTGAAGGGGATAAATATGAGATGTATGTTTTTTTTGAATAATGATTAAATTTACTCCACATATTTATTTTTTACATTATATTACAAGCCTACAAAATAATAGCACATTGCAACCAAACTATGTTATATGTACACAATTTAAACAGAAATAGCCAAACAAATTACAAACAAGATACAATCCCCATAAAGTTAAGGTAAGGATTGAAACCCGTCACATTTTTAATCGAGACCGCAACATTAGTGCGTGCGCACCGGTTTGTTGTGGTCTACGTTATTTAATTGTTTGGTTTTAAAAATGATAGGCGTGTGTTAATTATTAGATTTTCATTGATTATATTAAGAAATGCGATGCGGGAGGAATTATAAGTTTCACATTTTATTCACGTCATCTGTACACATTTGCTATCGACGGACGTGGTTCACACGAAGCATGAATATTTGATAGGACGCTGTACACAATATCAATTGTCTTTGTGATGAGAGGAGGGTTGTTTAGGAGTTGGGCGGCGATGAGTGAATGAGTGAGTATTGTTTTACGCCGCTTTTAGCAATATTCCAGTTATATCACGGCGGGGGACACCAGAAATGGGCTGGGCGGCGATGAAACTCTTATAAAAAATTATCATTGCATTTCAAATAAATTCAAATTATAACTTTGAAATATCCCCGACAACGACATAAAATAAAATTCATTCACACATTATCATATTACTATCTGCTTTATTGTTTCATTTTACACACGAGACACCGCAAACAAATAAAAGGGTCACCGACGTTTAGCACTTTCTCACGTACTGGATTATAAACCATTTAGATATAAACACCAGATGTGGTGGTGGACAGATATGTGTGTGAGTGTGTACACAGCACATGCCAGTTAGTCCACGCACGTGCCTAACTGTTCTGGTTTGACGGTCACGTGTGCCAAGATGCCTGCTTTGAATACATGATAATTAACACTAGATATATAACAGTATCAGGTGTTTAAATTATGAAAACTTCCCAGTTATCTGAAATTTAAAACAGCCTTGTTTTAATAAAAAAAATTGTAAATATTTTCAGTAACCCTATTCGAAACTGTGAGAATACTTTATATGTCGTCCATAGGGACTTATCACGCAAAAAATAGCAGCTTCGGGGTATAATTGTTATCACCTGTTCAAAGCAGCGGGAAACAACCAAACAAAGTAGTGATGATCAGGAGCTATTTACTTGTAGGATCATCCTCGATTATCCAGTGTATTATATCTCTAATTCATTCCGATATCCACCCTGGACCCATTCACCACCATAGCTCCAATGCAGGATTGATGTTTCCATCTTCATCTAGATATTACCATCTTTGCACAGAAGTGACCTCATGAGCTTGAAATTAAAAAAACACATATAAACTGACTCTTCTGAACGCAAGTTCGGCACAGAATTACATTTACAATCAGAATATTTTTAATTACCCAAAACTCAGTGAAAAGGAAGAGAACATAATTAAAACAGAATTAAATCGAGACACGTAAATAGTAAAACCAAGCCAGGACAGGATCGGAAATAACTCAAACATCAACCTCACGTACATAAACTTGGAATATTACAATACTATAAACTGAATAAAATGAGCTATTACCATATGAATATAATGAGCTATTAACACATGTGAAACATTAGGTCAGAAAAAGGTTAATTAAGTATTAAGTATTAAGTATAATAATTCTTTATCAGGGTTAATTGATAAGTTCTGAGCTTCACATAGAAAGACAAGACCAAAAGACATTGAAGTTATTTTTTTCCGACAGTCTTTGGTGGTGGTGATATCGAATGCTGACATTGTTTGAATGTTTTGTTTGGGCTTGAAATGATTAACCCTGGGTCCATCATTAGTCACAAATCGTTGCAAGAACCTTTCTGGATCAGCTTCAAACAGACCTAGATAATAACAAGTCATATTGGTGCGTTTTTGATCAGATGTCAGAAGCTGTGGCACCCAAAGAGCGCATACTCTATTCGTTGACGAAGTTTCTTTGATAATGTAATGTACTCTCTCCTTGGAAATGCCATCTGTACAAGTGTCATTCGTCGGTCGGTGACACCATATCGTGATTCTCTGGATCATGTCTGGTATTGCTGGGTTGACACGCCTTCCAGAACGGATGTCGCCCTCAAGCCTCTCCCCGACGAGCTTTAGTTCTGTGCCCACCACATTACACTGGCAGAGGGAGGGACATCCTTCCGTAGTGTTGTACTTCTTCAAGGACGGTTTTGGTCTTAAGCCATTTTTCTGCAAGTACTTTGTTACTACGCCGTCTTCAAGTTGGTTCATTTTCTGAAGGCCACAGACCCTGCTTATTGTCGCAGCGGAACAATTTGGTCAAATGACTAATATACTTGTGGATATACCTCTATCACATCACATTATGTCCACAACAAAAGGACCCGGGTTAGAATAGGTCTTCAGCAACCCATCCTTGACATATAAGGCGACTATGCTTGTCGTAAGAGGCGACTAACGGGATCGGGTGGTCAGGCTCACTGACTTGGTTGGTGCATGTCATCGATCCCATTTGCGTGGATCGATGCTCATGATGTCAATCACTGGATTTTCTTGTGCAGACTCGATTATTTACAGAACGCTGTCACATGGCTGGAATATTGCTGACGGATATAACGAACTTACTTTTTTGGTCCCGACTATTTGCCGTAGTTATGCTGTATATATCCTTATGACGAACTACGGTTACAACGAACTAAATTTAGTAGTCCCTTTGAGTACGTTATAACCGTACTTTACGGTAGCAATTTGGGGGTTTAGAACATCACCACTCATCAGCCAAGATAAGCAATGTGGAAAGAGAAGCAAATATTTGCCATCGTCGCTACGAAAGTGTTACTGTGGTAAGATGCTTTGTATCCATCTTCATCTTCATCTTCATCTACAGACTACTCATCGGTTTAGTATGGGGTATGTTTTATTTCTAAATGAACTGGGTGACTGACAAACTATAACAGCTGTTAAACATTATAGATACAAGCGTAACAATATGTATGTACATGAATATAGATTAGCATGTGCGACAAACAAAATGTGTATATATATATAATTAATATACTGAACAAAGAGAGTAAGGAATCATTAATATTTTTAGGGGAACCTTTTTGTGTGAAAAGAGTGAGCACACAATTTCAAATTTAAAAATCCACCAAAATATTTATGATCCCCAACTGTTTTGTCCAGTATATATAGAAATCCAATATGGCATCGTTCACTACGTGTGATATATACACATGAGAAGAGCTGAAGAAAGATGTACATAGACTCTCGTTATCTCGAACACATCGAGAGAACCGGAGCTCCAGAAAGAGAAAGTAGTCAAGTCATATTCGGCTACTAAGAAGCGAAGTGTAAATGAACATTATTATAAAAAATGATTAAAAACTATTATACGCATTTTTTTCCAAAATATCTTAATTTAAAGGTATCTTGGAGTTATATCCCAATTGTCAGTACATGTTTATCTCGAGTCAACGTATAGAAAAAAAATATGTCGAGTTGAGGAAACGAGGTTCGACTATATTATATCAGAGTCATATTCTAAATATTGGATTGTTGCGAAAGTCATTTCAGCAACATGATGACGATATTAACCAAATTACACTTTTGATATTTTTCAGGCAAGAAGTGATTTAATTTTCAAATATGCTACATTATGAATCTAGTTGATGAAGATTCTTCTCCTGTATCGTCGTATAGCGAATGGGTTTGGTATACTTTGGTTTCATCACGACGTCTCAGCTTAATGTGGGCGGAAAGGACGCAAGTCTTAGAATCTGGGATTCGAACCTAGATGGGTCGTCGTATAGAGGGTTGGGTTCGATCATATATACGTCGACAGGTCTTGGATGTCTGGGTAGTCATTGAGAGCCACACGCCAGACTAAGTCTAATGTTTAGCGTACTCTGTACGTGCTTGTTAATGTGTATGTCAAGGTCAAACTGAATGTCAAGGTGATAATAATGTTCAGGTTGCTAGGTTACCAAGGCCATCCGAATTTACAAAGACAATTAAATATATGGTTATCGTGGTCGTTATGTAATTTCTTTAATAAAATAGTTTAGTTATTCAGGACTTGATGTGGTCACATTTATCGTATAGTGCTATCTTACGACAAATATACGAGTGAGTACGATGGGTTAAAAGTTGTATTGAACATTATTTCACTCACTTGTATAACGATATGTCAAGTTACCATGGAAGTAAACCCAACGTTACGCAGGGTCGAGAGGTTTACCACTGTGGTGAAACCAACGAGCAAGGATATGGTGCTGACGGACCAAAATTCATAATCGGATCACTGGATCCTGGCACGGCTAAGGGGCGCAACTCTTCACATGTACTTGCCGCGCCTTAGTGACTGGTCAGCATGACAGCAACGCTCGATCGTAGCGCAACAGGTGGTTATTACGGGTTATGTCCCTTCAATGCCCCTTCTATTGACCAATCAGATTCCACCTCTCATATAACATGCATTGGCTTCAAACAAAATGGCGGCGCCCAGTCAAGACGATCTGATCGATAATCAAGATCTATATTGTAAAAAAACGGGTGTTATATCGCGAAGTGGATCAATTAACGTGAGCACCTTGATTAAAAACATGAAAAGATTTGGAAAATATGTGTCATCGCCTAGTTGAGGGTACACATCTTTTGCAAATCCTGCAGTCGACCGAAATCTGCACGTTGAAATCCATGTTGCTTACGAACTGGATGTCGATTTCGCTCCATGATTTTGATTGGACTATGCATAGACTCGTTAGTTCATCCAAAATATAACTCCATATCTGCAGCCTAGTTCGGCAAGGATGGAAACTGGACTCTTACAGTTAATTAACACCCTTGCCTCGGGAAGATGATCTCACCCTAAACCAACTCATCTTCATCATCACCACTATTTCTACACCTTATCCCATATAATCTAATCCCCAACGCATTTTATTCCATCCTATATCTGAGCCTAGCTCACCCGATCCCAATCCCAATCATACACGACTCATTTTATCCCTATTCTCACTACTAAGCCCTTCTCGCCAAATCCCACCCCCATTCAAACGCAACCTATCGTTCTCCCCATTCCAACAACATCGTTTCGACCACACCCATCCCACCAGACCCCACCCATGCCCTTCCTCGACCCTGCCCAAATCTCGCCCTCGGGATCGGCATACACATGTCATACACATTGCCGGAGATGACAATATAAACTTGACAAAATTGTTATTATCAAAAGTCCACGAGAGAAGCTATGCACTGATGCACTTGATGTGTGCGGGCAAGCAAACGTCCATGTTGATAGTGTCTCCAAGGGATAATACGACCCCTTACTGAACATTGTACTATTGTACTGGGTATCTATGGAATATATCAAACCAGATATCCTATTGTCTTTATTTTTCACGAATTCCACAATCTCTGGCTGGAACTGGTCGTCTGAATCACTCATGAACCACAGCGGGCCATAGTAGCGTCCGTGGAACATTGTTTCCGACTGTGGATACAGATTCATCTTCCCAAACCTCCCAAACGTCATCCGCAGGGTGTCTGCAGCATCCTCTTTCAGCTCCACCCGTATTTCGCCGAACCCTCTGTGGTAGTACGACCCCACGTAGTCCTGGGCAGGTCGGGCAGTGACGGTGGTAGTGTCTGTGACGGTAGGGGGGCTGGCGGATTCGAACCCTTCCTTCCACGGGGCTGGGTAGGAACAAATGGTGGATGTGTTGAGCCAAGGGTCCTCGCCCAGCAGTATATCAGCGGCGTAGCTCATGATAGCCCTGAGGGCAAGCGACTTGGTGTGACTTTGTGGACCATTGACCACAGCGTAGATGCCGACGTTCTTGTCCGGGAAGAGCCAGAGGCGGGATGAGTGTGTGATGATGCCTCCCGAGTGCCACACCAGTTTGAAACCTAAATGAAAAGGACATGGATTAAAGGTCAGCGAAGAGTGAGTGAGTGAGTGAGTTGGGTTTAACGCCGCTTTTAACAGTATTCCAGTTATATCGCGGCGTGTCAGCTCAATGTGGGAGGAAAGCCTGAAGTGATGCAGGTCTCAGACGTTTACCACTTCGGTGAAACCCATGAGCACGGGGAGGGTGCTGACAAACCTAGAAACATAATCGGGGCGAACCGGGATTCGAACCCACAATCATAGGTTTCTGGCGTGCCCAAGGGACGCAACTCTGCACAGCGTATCGTGGCGCCTTAGACGACTGGGTCACCCGTGCCCCCAGGTCAGCGAAGAACGGTTATCAGGACCCGTTTGCCCGGAGAATGAGTATTCCAGACGCCATTAGCCCCAGACACTACATTCCGGACGCCATTAGCCCGGAGACTCCGTATTCCGGACGCCATTAGCCCGGAGACTCCGTATTCCGGACGCCATTAGCCCGGAGACGCTACGTTCCGGACGCCATTAGCACTATTCCGGGCACCATTACACCGGAGACACTACATTCCGGACGCCAGTATCCCGGAGACTACATTCCGGACGCCATTAGCCCGGAGACACTACATTCCGGACGCCATAGTCTAGATACACTAAATTCCGGACCCCATTAGCCCGGTGACACTACATTCCGGACGCCATAGTCTAGATACACTACATTCCGGACGCCATAGTCTAGATACACTACATTCCGGACGCCATTAGCCCGGTGACACTACATTCCGGACGCCATTAGTCTAGATACACTACATTCCGGACGCCATTAGCCCGGAGACACTACATTCCGGACGCCATTAGCCCGGAGACACTACATTCCGGACGCCATTAGCCCGGAGACACTACATTCCAATCGATTCAGTTTTGGTGCATCAGTAAAATTACAAATGGATATAATATACTACTCAAAAGACGATTCTGTCATATAACTATTGTTAATCTGTCATCCCCAGCACGTGCGAGATTGATCAGGTGCTTGTCTAAGACATGAAGAGTTTTCATCTACCCGCATTATAAGAATTTTCAACTTACATCGTGGAGGCGCATTATGAATATACTTCACATGTTTCTTTGATTCGTGCCATATTTTAGTCAAGGTTAGTTCAAGAAGCAGTTTCCAAAAGAGTCTTTGCTTGATCCCAAACTGGACTTATTGACAGATAGCCTAGTACATTTGGTTCGTCATTCAAATAAGGATTGACTGTGGATTTATTTCGGTTCATTGAGGTATGAATCGAAAAACCGATGTGCAAACTTTTGTAAGAATGCGCTACGTTAGTAGCGGTACACATGCATTGCAAATCCTGCAATCGACCGAAATCTCCAAGGTAGTTTACGATTCGTTACGCGATTTTGATTGGACTATATACCATGATTCCAGCCTATTTCGGCAAGGATAGTAACTGGACTTTTTTAGTCAGTTAACTCCCTTGCCTCGGGAAGATGATCAGTCCTTATCGTATCCCGAGCGCATTGGTGTGACGCCGCTGGGGATCGAACCCCGACCTTCCGCTCTCCGGGCAGACCCTCCACACACGAGACCACGGAGCCGCTAATTTCGATATAAAGAGATTTTGATCAACTATTTTCTCGACCGACGCGTTCTGTAACAACTCCCTGTATAGTGAGAACAAACCTCTTTATAACGAGGATGTATATCGGTATAACGAGGACCTACCTCTATACAGAGACGTGACCCATGCCATGTCATAGTACATCTGGACATCTCCAACAGGGAACGTTGGTCGCTTGAGATTGTCCTGAAGAACCGGAGCCGCCATGCCAGGTTCCTGGGTCTCCGCTATGACCCGGGGGTCAAACACCTGGTCACCCTGGTCAGACTTGCCGTTGTTAAGGAGCAGCTGCACCCACTTGGCCATGTCCGCCGCTGTGGAGTACAAGGACCCTGCTGGACCGCACGGATGAACGGCGCTAAGGAAAACGTAAAAGAAGTATCGTAAAATACCCCATTTGAACACGATTTGTGTGTCTTTACACAGTTTATTCCAACGATTTCTGTTTGTTTGTTAGTATTTAACGCCACGCGACATCCCAGCTATATGACGGCAGTCTGTAAATAATCGAGTCTGGACCAGCCAATCCAATGATTGACAACATGAGCATCGATGTGCGTAATTGAGACACGATGACATGCGTCAACCAAGTCAGCGTGGCTAACAACAGATCCGTTTTTGAATTTGAGTGTGTGAGTGAGTTGGGTTTAACGCCGCTTTTAACAGTATTCCAGTTATATCACGGCGTGTCAGCTTAATGTGGGAGGAAAGCCCGAAGTGATGCAGGTCTCAGACGATTACCACTTCGGTGAAACCAACGAGCACGGGTATGGTGCTGACAAACCTAGAAACATAATCGGGTCGAACCGGGATTCGAACCCACAATCATAGGTTTCTGGCGTGCCCAAGGGACGCAACTCTGCACAGTCTATCGCGGCGCCTTGGACGACTGGGCCACCCGTGCCACCGTGACCTGAAGAATGCTGAAGACCAATTCTAACCTGGATCTTCACAGGCCATTCCATCATTATCACTGAAGCCTATAGATAATATAACATGGACAAAGAAATTGACCAAACCACTGAGCCTGACCCCTAACCCAATTTAGTCCCATCCTTACGCCACTTGGTTTATGGGCATCAATTCTACAACATTTCCAATCCGGGTGCATCTTAACGCAACTTTCAGGACAAGCAACAATATTATTGCAGGAGACACAAGGAATGGATTTTTGATAAATATTATTTGTTCTAGATATTACTGGGGAGAAATAATTTGTTGACGGTGTAAAATGACAAACAACGTGTGTTTATGTTGTATTTGAAGCGGAATGCTGTGACGACCACAGTGAACGGGTGTGGAGGAAGCGAGTAAGGGACAGGCAGCGTTCAGTATAACCACTTGGTACCATTTCTATCCTTTACCGTTATATATACCATAACCCGTGAAGATCCGGGGTAGAATAGTTCTTCAGCAACCCCCTTACCATAAAAGGCGACTATGCTTGTCGTAAGAGGCGACTAACGGGATCGGGTGGTCAGGCTCGCTGACTTGGTTGATGCATGTCACTGATCCCAATTGCGTGGATAGATGCTCATGATGTCAATCACTTGATTGTCTGGTCCAGACACGATTATTTACAGATCCCCGTCATATATGTGGAATATCTGGAGTGCGGCTTTAAACAACAAACAAACAAACAAAACCACGGATATAAGCGGTTCACCCAATATATAGAGGTTATCACGCGAGTGTGTTTGGGGATGGTAAATATCCTGCATTAGGAATAAACATTGTATTTAGCGAGCCTTGGCGAGCTAAATACATAGTGTTTATTCCTAATACAGGATATTTACCATCCCCAAATACACAAGCGTGATAACCTCTTTATCATATAATGTCATTCTTTAATTCTGTGCTTCAAAATCGCTTTCCCTCTCTCATAAACATTACCGAAGCATTGCGAGTTTTCCTGGAATGCGCGCTTTAATATTTATTACGTCACAGGGTAAGTGATGTGTCAGTCGGACAGTGACAGTAGCCAATATAGTTCCAACTGAAATCTGTTTCTTATACAGTGGCGAAGCGACATATAAACGCAAAACAACAATTGCCTTTCACGGCAATCCATCGGTCTGTCCGCTAGAGTAACTGCCCTTTGTCAAAGGGAAGCTACTCTAAACCTAGTCTACGAGACGTCACGGCCACGGTCAGACGTTGTTGACAGTCGGTCTGTCCTGTCATAACGTTAAGAAGTGTAGTCAGATGTACACACAGCGACAAAACGAAACAAGGTAACAATTCAAACATATTTCGGCCAAATCCAACTATTTTAATTTGTGGAGAAGGTTTCAAGCCGCAGAGGTCTACAAGCACAGATATGGCTACTGATCCCGCTTGGCTAGGCATCGTGCCCTCGCAAAATTGTTTCTCCAAATTTGCCAAAACTTATAAAATGCCTTCGCGACGTCACAGTTAGACACTGATTTTCAGTATATTAGACCGTTCTTTTGATAATGATAGCAATTATTTCTGTAGTTTATCCAGATTCCCGATGGTTAGTTCTGACTCGACCGCCGAATGACGAGGGCGACGCCATGTTTGTTTATAAACAGTGAAAGTAGTCCCTACTTGACCTTTGATATTTGCATCTCTATCCGCATATGATCCCAACGGATATCGTTTTTATCCGTTGGCTTTATCCTGCCGAGAAACCTACCCATTATATGATAAATATGCATCTTGGCCTGTGACAAACCAGTTATGGTTTCAGTACGATAAAGAAAGGTACGGCGAGTCTGACACTGAGTTATACAACATGCTTTATTGTACATATTGATTTTATTCACACCAACAAGTGATGCGGCCTTGTGATTTGCTTGTAGGTTAGTTCATATGCAATTTGCAATTTAGAACATTACCGACTACACTATCTTTTTTTGACGTGAATAAAAGCAGAGTCCCGACTTGGTTACAATGTGTGAAGCCCATTTCTGGTGTCCCCCGCCGTGACATTGCTGGAATATTGCTAAAAGCGGCATAAAACCATACTCACTGACTCTTTCTTTGCTCTTTTTGTGAAAACAGTAAACTACGGTTATAACGAACACGCTTATAACGAACTAACGGATATAACGAACTAACTTTATAGTCCCGACTATATGCTGTAGTTATGCTGTATATATGCTTATAACGAATTACGGTTATACCGAACTAAAATTAGTAGTCCCTTTGAGTTCGTTATAACCGTAGTTTACTGTAAATGCATTATCGAATTTGTTATAGGTCCACAAAGTCATTGGCACTGATCCTGTTTCTGTCGCCATGAGAGTTACGTGCGTGCGTGCGTGCGTGCGTGCGTGTGTGTGTGTGTGGCTGCTTTTACTAGTCAGGACTAATGCCGATTTATAGCGCTAGCCCACTGAGATACCATGCCGCAGTTAAACATGAACACCCCACTCAGACACAGTATACTGACTCCGAGCCGACCAGTCCTTGTTTTTAGCCCCTTAATGCCGAGCGCCAGACAGGGTAACAACATGTACCATCTTTAAACGTCTTTTGGTATGACGCGATCAAACCCCAGACCTTCCGTTCTCCGGGCGGACGCTCTACCACTAGACCACGGAGGCGGTCAACGGTTGTGGAGAAGCGACCAAGACAGAGCATCAGCTCCCCTACGTACAAGACCACGGAGGCGGTCAACGGTTGTGGAGAAACGACCAAGACAGAGCTTCAGCGTAACTCCCCAGCGTACTAGACCACGGAGTCGGTCAAACATCTCACGAGCTGAACTGCATAACTAAAACACTGTTTAAAGCGACATTAAGCCCAACTCACTCACTCATGATCAATCATTATTTTACAAGGGTATCGATGACTAAGCCGCAATTCGCTGTGCATAGTTACGTCTTCTTGCGGTCTTGGGTTCGGTTATGGTGTCAGGTTGTCAGATCAATTCTCCTCGAGTGTTTCAATAAAATGGTAAACTTGTGTCGCTTTATTCTACATTAAGCTGACACGCCGTGACGTATTTGAAACACAGCTCAAAGCGGCGTTTAACCTCACTTCCCGACTTATTTCTATGCTTGGCGGTCGGGTAGCCTAGTGGTTAAAGCGTTTGCACGTCACGCCGAAAACCCGGATTCGAGTCCCGACTTGGGTACAATGTGTGAAGCCCATTTCTGGTGTCCCCCGCCGTGACATTGCTGGAATATTGCTAAAAGTGGCGTAAAACCATACTCACTCACTCTTTCTTTGCTATTTTTGTGAATACAGTAACCTACGGTTATAACGAACACGCTTATAACGAACTAACGGATATAACGAACTAACTTTTTAGTCCCGACTATATGCTGGAGTTATGCTGTATATATGCTTATAACGAAATACGGTTATAACGAACTAAAATTAGTAGTCCCTTTGAGTTCGTTATAACCGTAGTTTACTGTACATGCATTATCGAATTTGTTATAGCTCCACAAAGTCATTGGCACTGATTCTGTTTCTGTCCCCATGAGAGTATCAAAGGATTTCCAGGAATCCTACAAGATATGTGGGCGCCGACTTGAATAGGACGTTCGTTGCACCCCTTACACAGGCCACACCGACCATATTCTCAGCTTCTCAGTCCTGTCTGGTGTCATGTTCTGCTATTTCCGCATACACGGCGTGAATAATTCTATCTCGTTAAGCCTCCCACACGAATGTAATCTTGATGTATTTGACTCAGGAATTTCGTGCAACTAATTGTCAGTTTTTCGTGCAATATCCGGAGAAGATTTGATGACATCTATTTCTGCCTTCGATCCATTTGTGTCCAATTATTATTGGGAAATGTATCGTGAGAAAATATGTTTAATAGTTGTGTTAGTTGTTCGGACTCTAGATAACCGTTATCGAAAACATTTGCGTTATGGTGGGTTTGACATAATGTCGTATCGGTGTAATTAATTACGATTGGCTCATGTAAGGATTCTGGGAAGAACTCGGGGAGTGAATATGGTTTTACGCCGCTTTTAGCAATATTACAGCAATTCCACGGCGGAGGACACACACATGGGCTTCACACATTGTACCCATGGGGGGAATCGATCCCAGGTCTTCGCGTTAACCACAAGGTTACCCACCGCCCCGAGTCGACTAAAGAGGGTTTGCTGGTCAAAATCTCTCATTGGCCTGGATCGCTGCTCATGTTTTCAGTCACTGGTTGAATTTTTACAGACCGCTGAGTTTGTTTGCTGTTTAACGCCGCACTCAGCAATATGACGGCGGTATGTAAATAACAGGGGGTCAGACTCGCTGACTTGGTTGATGCATGTCATCGTACCCCAATTGCGTAGATCGATGTTCATGATGTCAATCACTGGATTGTCTGGGCCGGACTCGGTTATTAACAGACCGCCGCCATTTTGCTGGAATAATGCTGAGTGCGCCGTTTAACAACAAACACACAAATACAAAAAACTTATTCTGATGAGCTAATAAATGGCCCATATGTTAATTTGCTTGTGGGATGAACTAATAAAGTGGCTTAAATGTTAATTTCTTTTGTGAATATCGTCCGCAAATTACTTGTTATACATATACCGTTCCCAGTAATAACTGTTACAAACTGAAATTATATTTCTCTCTGCGCTGCGCTGCGACAGCTTACTTTGTATATATGGACGAATATTGTGTTTACAATTTCTACTTTGGTGAATCGGTCTTAAACAGAAACACCTGCAGCTAGTCATACTGAATAACACCTGGCCTGTTCGCGCAAAACGGGGTTATAAATAAACTTGCAAATCAAACAGAACTAAGATTACAAAACACAATTTAAAAAATGAGCAAATCTTACACAAATAAGATTACACAGTATACTTAGTCTATAGCCTCCGCCATGCCGACTTTATGTAAGTACTCGCAGCAGGAAACTGAGCTGATTATTTAAAAAATTTATTTGTTTTAATGTAATGCGACACAATAGGGGTACCTTTTAAACATATGCTATTGGGTTTTCGTCAAACTATATGAGTGTACCTTTATTTATTTGTTATATTTAATAATAAACAAAAGTTAGGACTTGTTTCAACTAATATTTCGATGACACATCACAAATATAAGGTTACATGTGGGACAACTTGTTGTATTTGATGCTATAGTGGAGTGAGTGAGTGAGGTTGGTTTAACGCCACTTTTAACAGTGTTACAGTTATATCACGGCGTGTTAGCTTAATGTGGGAGGAAAGCCCGAAGTGATGCAGGTCTCAGACGTTTACCACTTCGGTGAAACCCACGAGCCTGGGTTTGGTGCTGACAAACCTAGAAACATAATCGGGGCGAACCGGGATTCGAACCAACAATCATAGGTTTCTGGCATGCCTAAGGGGCACAACTCTGCACAGCAAATCGCAGCGCCTTAGACGACTGGGCCACCCGTGCCCCCGATGCTATATAGTGGATGTTATCGTGATTTGTGGCAATTGTAATTGATATGTAAATGTGTGTAAATATGTGTAAATGTGTGTTATTATGTGTAAATTTGTAAATATGTGTAAATGTGTGTTAATATACGTAAATGTGTAAATATGTGTAAAAGTGTGGCAACTCACTGCAGTAACATGGGGTCCAGGTTGGTGAGTTTCCCGTGCTTCGTGGCGACTGGCAAAGCTAAGTTGGTGAAGTTGAAAAGTCTGTCGATGAAGCCGCTGTTGCGCATGCCGAGGGGGGTAAGGATGTAGTCCTCGACCAGACTCTCCCACGACTTCCCCGTCATCCGCTCGGCCACGTAGCCGGCCAGAGTGTACATGTAGTTGCTGTACATAAACTTGGTCCTGATGGGCTCCGTGGCGGGCATGTAGCGGATCCGCCTGAAACAAACGCCCGTCAGATTAGACCACAAGAGCGTTAATAACATTTTCATTTCATTTAAATAAAAGCAACAAAATCCTTTACATATTCGTACGAAATCTCTGCCAAAAACAGAGTCGATTGTACGATTCCGACTATATCATGAGCATGTGTTTATGAATCACTTTCAAATAGTCGTTCGCGAACACATGCAAAGGCAAGTCAATTCTTCACCTGAAAAATACCCACGGGAACATATGGTACAAGGCAAATAGGGAACCGCATCGGACATCATTTTTGTCACTTTCAGTTGTTTGCAATCCCAAATAACAAATGCCTTCTTTGTTGTTAATTTCAACCCCGTGGGAATTCCGGGCCAGACATGGTCAAATAGACTATCGTAAGAACGGAGTTGCATCGGGTTGATGCTCTGTTTTGTATGTTTGTTGTTAAACGCCAGACAAATCAGTGATTGATATTAAGAGCAACGATCATCGCGGATGAGGTGAGGTGAGGTGAGGTGATGTGAAATGGGGTTTAACGTCGCGCCCAAGATTATTAGTAAATACACTTATATAGCGACGTGCATGTCCGTGTGTGTGTGTTTGTATGGCTGCTTGTACTTGTCCGGACTGATGCCGATTTATAGTGCTAGCTCACTGAGATACCATGCTACAGTTTAACATGAATACCCCACTCAGACACAGTATACGGACTCCGAGCCGATCAGTCCTTGTTCTAGCCCCTTAATGCCGAGCGCCAGACAGGGTAACAACAAGTACCATCTTTTAACGTATTTTGGTATGACGCCGTCGGAGATCGAATCCCGGACCTTCCGCTCTCCGGGCGGACGCTCTACCACTAGACCACGGAGGCGGTCTCATCGCGGATGATCAACGATGACACGCAATCAACCAAGGGGCTAGTTCCCTAGCACCCCGGCCATATTTGACTATCCACGAGGATTCCGGGTAGAAGAGATCCCCAAAGCCCAAGCTAGTCTAAGACCTGACTAATACAAATAGAATGTCGACAATGTGTATCCTTGTAATTGTATGTCATCGTAACGTGTTGATCGTAGCTCTTGCTATCAGCCACTGGTTTTCCTCGCTCTATTATTTATCCGCCGCCGTAACATAGCTGGAGTGAGTGAGTGAGTCGGGTTAAACGCAGCTTTTAACAGTAGTCCAGTTATATCACGACGTGTCAGCTTAATGTGAGGGGAAAGCCCGAAGTGATGCAGGTCTCAGACGTTTACCACTTCGGTGAAACCCACGAGCACGGGTATGGCGTGTCAGACCTAGAAACATAATTTGGGCGAACCAGGATTCGAACCCACAATTATTGGTTTCTGGAGTGCCCAAGGGACGCAACTCTGCACAGCGAATCGCGGCGCCTTAGACGACTGGGCCACCTGTGCCCCCGACGAACCAAGAAGCACAATTACAGAAAATATGAGTCCTTGCCCAGTTTGGGCTGTTATTGTGTTTTCATGCCAGGACTCAGCTGCCGATTATCTTATAAACATTCGAGTGGTGGTGGAAGAAGAACCTTGTACCGCACATCAGCGCACATGTCAGGCTTCGGAGAATTTCCAAGTGGTCGTTATGGATGAATTACTAAAACATACAGTCGTGTTATATTTCAGCTGTGGTATAACAAGTTATAAACCCCTCGTGATCGAATGGATAGTGTCTGTCCGGCGAGGGGAAGGTCAGGGGTTCGATCCCCGCCCGCCTCGTAACAAAAAAACGTTACATGATGGTACGTGTTAGCCTGTCTGGCGCTCGGCATTAAGGGGCTAAACCAAGGACTGGTCGGTTCGGAATCAGTGTGCTGTGTAATAGTGGGGTATTCATGTTAAAGTGGGGCATGGTATCACGCACATCATTTCGCCTCACCTTAGCTTAGTTTACTGTATACTCACTTTATGATAACCATGACTCTATGCAGGTGTTTTAACCACAGCGAAACCTCGTTAATCCGGACAATATTACCCCTTTAATTCGGATTAAGATATGTCCGGACTAAGGAAGTATAAGCAACTTGTTTAGATATAGACGTTCAACTATGGAATACTATAAGGGACATTCATGCGATCTCGCATTCCAGCGATCTCGATCTTTGGAAACGAGCTAAATATGCCCAAAACACGAGAACGCGAGATTTTGGCCAAATCTCGCATTATCGCGATCTCGCATTCTCGTGTTTTGGGCATATTTAGCTCGTTTCCAAAGGTCGGGATCGCGAGAATGTCTCTTACAATATTCCATATTCCACACTGAAAAGTGGGAGGTAAGGTTTCCTGATAAGCGTTGTTTGGCTGTTTTTGATGTCGTGCTTTCTTGAGCTCACCTGACTACTTCCGATCTGTCGACAGTTTCCGGGAAGCCGACAACCAGAGCTTTGAAGTAGGCTGGTACGCCTACTCGATGTGACAGCAAGTCACGGAGACTCACGAGGTTCGTTCGGACATCGTCGGAAAGTTTGAAGGAGTCGCCGATGATGTCTCGAATAGGAGTGTCGAATGTCACACTGAAACAAAAGATTTTCAACTTAAGGCAAAATTCTTCCAAAACGTCGCATACTCGTCACAAAGGGTGTCTTATGCGCCGTAATTTGCTGTGCTGAGTTACCTCCCTTAGATGTACCAGACGCTTGTTCTTGTGGATTCGCGTTCAAGATTCGTCCCGATTAGGTTTGTACCTCAGACGCCCCTTTTATCACTGTCATATCACTAATAATTAGTTGCTAAAGAATGCACCCACACGAAGATAAACTAGAGGCTCCAGAGTACATTCTATCCATTCGTGGTTCGAATCCCATATTTTCTGTAATTGTGCTTCTTGGTTCGTCGGGGACATGGGTGGCTCAGTCGTCTAAGGCGCCGCGATTCGCTGTGCAGAGTTGCGTCCCTTGGGGACGCCAGAAACCTATGATTGTGGGTTCGAATCCCGGTTCGCCCCAATTATCTTTCTAGGTTTGTTAGCACCATACCCGTGCTCGTGGGTTTCACCGAAGTGGTAAACGTCTTAGACCTGCATCACTTCGTGCTTTCCTCCCACATTAAGCTGACACGCCGTGATATAACTGGAATTATGTTAAACCCAACCCAAACACTCATGGCAAAGATGCATATTTTGTTGATCGTGTCAACGTTTAAAAAGTTGGTTGGTTGGTTGGTTGGTTGGTTGGTTTGTTGTTTTAGCCGCACTCAGCAATATTCCAGCCATATGACGGCGGTCTGTACATAATCGAGTCCGACCAGACAATACAGTGATTAATACCATGAGTATCGATCCACGCAATTGGATCGATGACATTTTTCAACCAAGTCAGCGAGCCTGACCACCCGAACCCGTTAGTCGCCTCTTACGGTTTAAAAAGTAAGCTACTCAACCATCTGTCATGAGTGAGTGAGTTGGTACTCCGCTTTTAGCAATATTCCAGCTCTATCAAAGAGGGGGTACACCAGAAATGGGCTTCACACATTGTACCCTCGTGGAATCGAACCCGGGTCTTCGGCGTGACGAGCAAACGCTTTAACCACTAGGCTACCCGACCGCCCCTAACCATGTTAGAAGTTGAGTAGTATACTAGTATATTCAGCTCAAACATACTTTCTATTTGTGTTGACGTTCCTCAAAACGTAGCTGTGAATGTTTCGGAACACTATTGGTCCTTGGTGTGATAAGAGCAAGGGGTATCTAAAAGTCGCACAGGGAATTCCGATCTGGTTTTACATACGGCTGTCACGATGGCCATATTGATAATATATTTGCCTATTACTCAGCCATTTGTGCTTGTATTATATAAATTTGATAAATAAGTTTTGTGGAACTATAGATATAATACATTTTTTATCTGTAATCCGACTATAACCTTTGACAACCTGAATCCCCACCCACTTGATCACATTTATGGCATCTCTAAAATTTGTTCAAGGAATTCCGATCCGACTTTAAACCTGACCATTACGTCCTCATAATTCAGATGAGTTATTGACCCTTGTTGATTCTATCTTAAACAAAGATGCAAAAACTACATTAGTGAATACTGCTAACTTGAAATGAAAACAGGAACGGTTACCAGGATGCCTTCGTGGTCTTGTGGATCGAGGGTTTGCCTGGAGAGCGGAAAATCGACGGTTTGATCCCCGGACGCGTCATACGAACAGACGTTGAAAGATTATGCCCAGCCTGGCGCTCGGCAATGTATAAACCAAGGAATGGTCGTCTCGGAGTCAGCATACTGTGTCTGCGTGGGGTATTAATGTTATACTGCGGCATGGTATCTCAATGGGCTAGCACTATGAAACCGGCAAAATCCAGTACACTCACACACACGCGCGCACGTCGCAAAATGAGTGAATAATCTTGAATGTGAATTTAATCCCCATTCCACATCACCCCAAGCTAGAAAGGAGTGAGTGAGTGAGTTAAGTTTAAAGCCGCTTTTAACACTATTCCAGTTATATCGCGGCGTGCTCATGTGTTATAGGAGCTCCACCCTTAAGCGGGTATCGGTAGCTATTGTACGGTTGACGTCAAATGAAAAATGCGGCATCCATGCTATTTGTTGATACCACTGTGTCGTTCTAACCGACCTCAATAAGATGCTCTTCGGCTCTCTCGTCTAAACAAATAGGTTCCGATACGCTGGGTTGATCACAGATGGCGAGAGGACACGACATACAAAGCTAACACAGCGAAACGTTGTATACCGCCATCATTAACAAAGAATTCATATGACGTTAACAGTAACCCATACTACCGCGCAGACATCTATCGTCACACAGCCGCAGTGAAAAGTAGACAGCCTCACGCTCAACAAGACGACGTCAGAGCGAAAGCGTAAGACAAGCATCTCCTTCACTCGCTAGTAGGTCAAGCATGGTGAATGCGGTATGACGTCAACGCTAGCCACGTGGTGCTTCTTTCATTATCGAGAAAAACGGTTTAAAAATGAATTTACAACATGACGACCATGAACTATTTTTTACAAGGTCAGGCACCCTGCCTTGGGTCATATCAGTCAGATAGTGCAAGTCTATTTCTGTTAACACACGAAGAAACCTACGTTGCTCAGTCGGGTGGATTTGAAGGGGTGGGATGAGCTGTATGTGACGAGTGTGGTACGTTTTCCGCCGTGAGAATTCCAGGTTATAACAGGGTCACGTTCTCAAGCGATCTTAGCTTTACGACGACTGTAAGCCTAAAGCAGCTCTCACACTTTGCCGAGGTGGTTGCCGAGCTCTCCCGAGCCTAACACTGTTAGGACTAGGGAAGAGACTACATATATACGAGTATCATACGAGTACGCTACGAGTGTGTTACGAGTCCCATAGGAGTCCAATAGGAGTCTATTAAGAGTTGCATACAACATGCATAGATCGCACAACAGTCTGATAGATCGTTCTATAACATTCATAGATCGTTCAACTTCATCCAGAAATCACACTACAACATTCATAGAACTTTCTACTGCAGCCATAGAATCGGCCAAGGACAAACATATATTGTCAACGAACAAACCAACTTGTACATTGATAAAGCACGATGTGTCGAAAAAAAGAAAGGCTTGCCCCAGTCTCTAATATGTTTTTCGATATAACTCACTACAAATCTGAACAGGTAGGCCTAAGTGTAGTATCAACGCCATCGGTCTTTTTACCACATGTGCCAGTAAGCCTGTCGCTGTTGCCCTGAAGATGTTAAATGATCACCTCTAGATAGTAGATACATTTGTCGACGGGAAAGGCGATTCGGCAGTCAGGTGTCACTGGTAATGAATGCATTTTCTGCTTCTCTTTTTATTTACGAGGATTTCGAGTAATCACGTTTGTACTAAACCTGGATGTTTCGTTAGGCGATAAGGCAGCTACGCGTTAACGATGTTTATACACGAATGACGTCATACAGAACGTGATGTCATGGCGTTACTGACCGCAGTGAGTGAGTGAGTATGGTTTTACGCCGCTTTTAGCAATATTCCAGCAATATCACGGCGGGGAACACCAGAAATGGGCTTCACACATTGTACCCATGTCGGGAATCGAACCCTGGTCTTCAGCGTGACGAGCGAACGCTTTAACCACTAGGCTACCCGACCGCCCCTTCTGACCGCAGTGGAGTCTGGTTGCAGGGTTTCGTGGTACAATGAACTACGGTTATAACGAACTCAAAGGGACCACTAATTTTGGTTTGTTATAACCGTAGTTCGTCATAAGCATATATATAGCAAATGGCCGTGACGAAAAAAATAAGTTCGTTATATCCGCCAGTTCGTCATAAGAGTGTTCGTTATAAAAGTAGTTCACTGTATAAACGTAGTTTACTGTAAATGGCTTCGGTCAAAAACACAGCATTTTATGAATGTATAGGTTTGAAGGCGGATCACAGAGTATCATCTTGGTGATTAACGATCTCCCTGCTGAATAAATGCACCACGTTTAGACCATGACAAACTTAGTTGTGGCATTGTGGTACAGCGTCTCTTGTTTTCTAAAGAATGTGGGCGCAAAAAACATACACCCCTGTACGTTTCTTCAAGAACCATATTTGTTCATAGTAAGTAAATACATTAATAGCAACTACACCGAATAACCTACATATGACTGTAGACAATGGCATGTATGCTAGGGTTATTAAATCCAATACAATCAAATCTAGTAATTGATATTCATAAGACAATATTTTTTAAATTTGAAGTTTACGCTATATACGACATTTCCATTGGACGAGAGGTCGATCACATGAGCGCGAAATTGATGTTTCCTAGGTGTATTAACGACACATTTTGACGTTCAGACGTTTTTCGCGAGACCGTGTTCCTGAAATGATGTAAACACTGACGGACTACTTCCACATTCCTGGGGGAATATCTGGGATTTCCGATCCCTAGCACGAATAAATACAGAAGCGTTCTTTCTGATAATTTAAACCCTTTAATCTTGAACTCAGCATTTAGTATACATAGAGAAACGTCAGAGAGTTTGACTGCATGAATGTTCACGAAAATCCTCGCTACGACCCATCTGAGTGAACAATACTAAAAAATGCGCATCCAAACTATCGTAGTATCGACTCGATCCGTGTTTAGGCTGACAGTGACAGTTTACAGGAATCTATTAATTTACCTTAGTGTCTATTTGACACATCTTTAATTACCTTTCAATTATCGGTCAATTGATCAATGGTCACTTGACATGTAACCGCGACAGGTTCATCAACATCTTCTGAAATCTCTCCCGTCACGTTTATCGTGTCGGCCATTTTGACGTCTTGTACTTGATGTAAATGTATTACGACGCGCTGTCATTGTGACTGACTTACTGAGGTAGTTCTAAAAGACCTTTCTCATCTAATGGTGATATCATTTGAATAGATGTGTTGTGTCAGATATTTCTGAAGAACAAGTTGTGCATACATACGCTCGTGTCACTTCTCTTATAGAGGAACTATTTTATTCCGCGACAGCTGGTTGTTGTATGGCTGTTTGTGTAAACATGATGTCACACATACTTAATAAAATTG